AATAATAATAAAACTCTTTTAAATTATATAAATGATATTTTGATATCTTAAAATGTTATATATTTTTTGAAGTTCTTAAAAACTTTTTTATCATTATAAAATTAATATAAATAATTAAATTATTTTTAATTTAAATTTGTGAATTATTGTTCAATTTTTATTATTTAAAAAAAAATTTGTGAATCTTATAACAAAAATTATGAATGGTAATTGATATTTACAACACTTAAAAAATATTATGATTTTAAATACAAACTTATAAATTACTATGGAATTCTTATGATTTAAAAAAAAATTGTGAATCTTTGATCAATATTTGTAAACGGCAATTGATATGTAAATTAAAGACAATTTGATCATTCACATTAATTCCTTAATGACAAAAAAATCTCTAAAAAATTATGACATTTCAAATGATCAAAATATCATTTATATAATTGTTTGGACTAAAATATGAAATGTCGCTCAGATAGGTCACAAGGCTAGTTAGGTTGAGTAACTGAAGAGTCAGGCCCAATATAAACAAAAAAGCTAGCTTTGAAGCTCAATAAAGGCCACGATAAAATAAACATGTTGAAATTCTATCAGTTACAAGCGTTAGACCTTTGGTACAAAAGGACACAGTCTCCAGTAATTCTTAAATCCACGAACATCGTGCCTAAGTATCTCGGTGAGACGGGCTAATTATCCAAAAATGAAAAACTCTAAATAAAGACTGTGTCATAAGTTTCACAAGATCTTTGATTCTTTGGCAAAACGTGCTAAGTATTAAGGGAGATGCTACCACTACTCTGACACTATAAATAGAAGATGAAGATACAGAAGAAAAATAGTTAACACTCAATCAAAAACTTACACTTTTGCATTTTGTAGCCTTAGTTTTATCAATTAGTTTTACTTTCAATTCAAACATATAATTTCTCGTATTTCAATAAAATCAAACACTTATTTTATTAAAACCTTATATCTTTTTACATTCGAGTGAACTATGGTAAGGGAATTCGGAAGTCTTTTGCTATCAATTAAAACTCAGCATTTCTGACACACCTGATATTTGTTATTCACCATAAACAATAACTTAAAGAAATTTCATTATTATTTTTTCATTATTCATTCTAGTTTATTTTATATTTCACTTTATTATATCCGGTAGAGTATTGGCTTCAAAGTTGCATCGCGTGGATCCGAAACCTGCAATAAATCTCAATACTTTGCGGCTTTGAAACAGTACCTAATCTACAACGGGTTTATCACGACATTTGAATACTTTATGATTATATCTAATTACTTCTTCCATTAAAAAAATATAAAATATTTTTAATTAAACTTTATCTCTCAATAAAATAATTATTTATTTTTAAATTAATTCTATTTTTTATATTTATTTTTATTAAATATTATATAATAAATATAAAGTAATTTATTCAATAAAAATATTTTAAAATAAAAGTAATGATCACACCTTAACAAATTAAAAATGTCTTATGTTTTTAAATAAAAAGAATATATATTGCAGCGGGTTCATTTAATATACGTAGAATACTTGCAACTATTTTCACGCCTGCTAATAAAATTCAGTTTTTTTTTTCTCCTCAGTTTCAAAATTGACATGTTCTCCTTGATCCAAAGAAAAAAAAAAAAAGACTTGTCGGTATACTTTTTTCTTTAACCACGACTAGCATGTACAAATTTAAAAAGGATTACTTATAAATTATAATGCCTGTGCACTTGTCCTATTACATGGAGAGAGATTTTTTTCAAGGCAAGCCTGTCACGTGCCTTGTCACGAGAAGCAAGAAACATTGTTTAGTAACTAAATACGAGTTTTCCAGTGAAACCCAATCACTCGACCCTCATTGATCTATACAAATGGCATGATTAAAGAAATTCTTAAAAATTAAAAAGGAAGAATATCGATTAGGGCCCTCCCAATGAGAGTAATCACCAACAAGGCTTAATAGATTCTAAAACTCTTCTAAGTTTCAAAGGTTCCGAGAACCTTAATTGCAATTAAATTTATTAGCCCGATTACTAAGTGCTTGCTAAGGCTGTGCCTCCGTTGTGAGCCACCAGAGATCCGACAAGTGATTTAGGCACGTTTGAACCCTTAATCCCTTGATAACCCAAAATGTTGGAAGTCTATTGCACCAACAAACACTTCAATTTATATAGTACAGAAATACACACACACTATAACTATCATTTCTGAGGATTTACATCAGCTATGCTTAGACAAGTCGTTGTTAATATTTGAATAATTATTTATAAATATTCCAACATGATTTATTAATATTTTTAAAAATAGTCAATTTTTGAAGATCAATTTGTTCGATTTTTTACAACTTGTTTTCTCAATGTTTATAAGTGATTATTAGAATTTAAACAACAACTCATCTATTAACAGAAGCTCTTGAAAATGCTTGAAAAGTAAATTTATAACATATATTTTTTATTTAATATAATATTGATTACGTGTTAACATTGAGAGAACAAGCTATAAAACATCAAACAAGTTGGTCTTTGAAAATTAAAAACTTGTTATTTAACATAAACAAGTCATACTCGAATATTAACCAATGATTGTTTGAATTTTAACAACAACTTGTCTAAAAACAACAAAAACCCATGAAAATGTCTAGAAAATAAACTTATAACATTGTTTTTATTTAGTATAATATTAACCACTTGTCAATATTAGATGAACAAGTTGTAAGAAATCCAACAAGTTGATCTTCAAAAATTATCAACCTTTTTTTTAACATTAATAAGTTACGCTTAAATATTTATAAATGACTATTTAAAAATAAATAACAACTTGGCCAGAATCAGGAAAAGCCTGTGCCAATGAAATTTATAACATGTGTTTTTTGTTCAACATAATATTGATCACTTATTAATATTTAAGGAACAAGTTAGTCTTTGGAAACTAATAACTTTTTCTAAGATGTTAACAAGTTGTGCTTGAATATTTACAAGTGACTTTTTATAAATGAACAACAACTTGTTTAAGTTATAATGTACATATATATATATTTTTGCACTCTATAAATTGAAGTGCTTGTTGCTTCAATAGTCCTTAACTTTTTGGAGAATCCAAGGGTCAAGGGTTTAAACCCCTACTAGCTTTTTTCTTGAATCGACCAACCATTGGCCACTATCGGCGACTGACGATGGAGGTTCGGCCTCCTGTGTGACAGGTTTGTTTGTTGGCAACGCAACTCCAATGATGGTGGGGACTTCTTTTCTTTTTTTTAAATATACATAAACTAGGGGTATTCGAGTAATTGGACCAAAAAATTAATTGCAATTAAAATCCTTGGGCCTTCATACAAAAATTTCATAATCTATTAGATCTTACATGTGATTAATCTCCCTTGGAGGATCCTAATTGATATTCTGCCAATAAAAAATTGAGAAAATTTATTTGCAAGTCACTTCTACTTTTTCCTCAAGCTTGAATCATGTCCCTATAGTTTATTTTATTTTAATCAGGTCCCTAAATTTTTTATTAAAATTAAATAACAAGGCTCAAGATTTAATCAGAACTGTGTAGTGGACAAGTATTTTATAAAGTGCATTTTTTTAAAATTTTTTTCCACCAATTCAAATTGATTTATTTATTCACTTATTGAATCTTAGCCATTAAATATGAAATTCAAAGGTAAAGAAGATGAGAGGAGAGTAGAAAGAACAAATCAAGACCATAAATTTTAAGTGGGAAGGCGCAAAATAAATAAATAAACAAATAATGACCTCACAAACTATTTAACGGTGAGCTGGTTTCAGTTGAACATAATGGATTTGCCCCTTTTCTACTCTGCTCATCATCGCTCAAAATCTGTAAACCAGACGAATGTCCCTAAATTAAATAAAAAACCACAATTAAATTCATGTATCGCTGAAAATGCCCGCTGGAGCAATATGATATAAAGACCTGTCCATCATTTCACACGCGCGCGCGCATATTTGATGACTGAAATTCCGATGCCACTATTGTTTTTAAATGCAACTATTCTTTAATTCGAATTATAAATTTGAATCATAGCACTGTTAATTAATAAGCAATTAGGGCACATAGTTCAACAAGTAGACACTAGAATTCACCATGTCTGTCAGTTAAACTCTTTGATGTTATGAAGGACATAGCTAATTAATTAAGTTATTTTTCACTGTTCAAATCTCATTACCTCAATTTTATTGACGATTGTTAGAAATTGAGAGTGAACGTCTGAAAACGGAGAAAGAAAAAAATGATATTGACCTGAAAACAAGCTATATATTGTACGTATATTTGAAACCTAAAATGTGATTGGTCCCTTGTTATAGAAGAGACTTGCATGAGTCTGTTTAAAGCCTAAAAATTAGACCGACTTTGATTGCAGGAGGGGAGACTTGGTGTTAGTGGCATATTTAATAGAGGACAGCTTGTAATAAATTCAAATTTGAGAGAGAAATCGTTAGGTGGTTCAAATATGAATGAATTTGAGTTGATGCAGGAAGATAAGAAGTCACACATGCATCAAATAAAGGTAAATTTAATAACTAATATGAAATAAAAGGAAATTAATGATCCATATGTAGGAGTATAGGTCGGTTCTTTGAAAATAGACGTTAATTGTTTGCATTCATGAGCATATGCCAGTAGCTGACTAGAAATCAGATCTAATTAGAAAAGACTTGCATATCCCGGGCAGCAATTTTTTAACGAAAGAAAATTATTCAAGATTCCTCCACTAATTATATCCTGCTAATTACTCAATTATTTTTAATATACAGAAAGAAATATTAACCGGTATCTACCATCTTATAAACCTTGCTAGCAATGGTACAGCCTAACACATTCTTGTTCTTTCCTGACATGTGTCGCCACCAAATATTTAGTAAGCGATTTCATCAGATCAGAAGGGCTGTAGAATTATGCCTTTGTAGAAGAACACACGCACACACACACACATATAAATATATTAAAGAGCGAACTTGAGATCGCTGGCATATGAGGGTGCATCCGTCATCTGAAGTCTATCAAGAACACAAAACTCGCCAGGCCTCTGTGATTGGGTTTCTATATAACACTACAGCAGCATTTTATATGGCTCCTATGTTTCCCTGAAGTCAGGTATATACTTATTTGAGCGCCTCATGTGTTTTCTTCTACAGGGAATTGATACGAATACGATCGCCCACACCAGGCCGGATTTAATTAGAACTATCATTGACTTGATTCTTGCTGCTATATTTCCCTCATACAAAACCCTTTTTTTTTTATCTGATTCTCACCCCGCAAATCCAATCTCAGATTTTCAGAAATCTTAGCTTCACTTAATCAACTTTCGGTGCCACTAATTCAGAAAAGCCTTGACACCCGGGATGAGAGATGAGAGATCTCTCATCTTTGTGATCTCTATCTATCAGGTTAGGTTCATTAATTTACCTGTATTACTTGTATTCATTAATTATCTATGCTATACCTTTCTTTAATTTCCTTATTAACTTGTAGTAATTTATAATCTACACACACACACATATAAACCTTGGCATCATCAGTTGATCACGATGAAGAAGAGGACTCACAAGACGACGGTCTGATCTGCCTGTGCGGCGTCATTAAGATTCACGCTGCTCCAATATATGGCAGTTTTTATTGTAGTGGGAATATTGATGATGCTGCACCAGCAAATCTATGACTATATTTGCTTCCCGCTGTACTTTGGATCCAACCAATCTCAATCGGAATTCTTAATTTCATGTGAAATACAATTAAGGTAAGCATTGGTGTCTATACAATCACAGGCACACACAGTGGTTGTGCATGTTTCTCTATCATCTTTTTGTTTGTTAGCTTGCTGCAGGAGGCCTGAAAAGTAAAAATTTCGACAACGTATACGTATAGGATCAAGTACATGAAGAACGCGCAAGGTTTGTATACATCAAGCCCATGTTATATCAAGATTTCAGAGATTTAAAAAGCATTATCTTTACTGTTTATTTATGCCTTCGGTTTTTATATATAATAGTTTGTCTCACGAGATCACTGACCCCTTTGTGGTGGGATTCTAACGAAAGTACGTGTTTTATAAAAGAAATGTTCATCTAGCTGGATGTAATAAGTACAAGATTATTCATGTATATATGCAAATGCTCAAATATATATTTTGAATTTTGAAAATCTCTACACAGGAATCACCAAGATAGTTTATCGGAGAAAAAAAGCTGCCTCTGATAATGGGCTTTAACTCCTAACCGAGATGCCTTACTATAATCCAAAGTCAGTATTATCAAAGATGATAGATTCTGCACGCACACACAGACACATATAAAAACTGTAGGAACACCCTTCCATTTTTTTCGTACGTCGCACCGTATCTTTGTTAATTAATTCATCAAAGGAGGAGCTATGAAGAGCATTTAGAAAAGTTGTGGGTCGAGAACATAAAAAAAGGTGGTTTTGTGTCGATGATATGGATAATGGGTATTTTATAATTTTTGAGGGTGTCAAAGGAGGAGCTAAGAAGTAGATCCATGTTTGACAAAATTTTTTGTTAGAATAAAAATAGAAGCACTTTATGTTAGTAAATATATTGCGTGAATGTTAAGGGTTAATTAATTGCCTCGGTATTTATTTGATTTATATGTATGATGCCAGCTAATGCTTTTGTTGATATCCAGATACAGTGACGAAGGCGTTGGGTTCCTGATTGTGGTTTTCAAATTGGTACATCCTGACAGGTTAGAGAAACGATTTTTCTTTTCAATAAAAATTAAATACTTGTTCCCAATTCCATGAACTCTTTTTGGAAGATTTCTATATGGCCGATCAGGAAAAAAAAAAAAAACCTATGATCCGTTTTGTTCAATTCTAGTATAATTTTTATATTTCAAAGAATGACAGTAAAGTTCTAAAAAAAAAACTATTAATACACTACCACAGAAGATACTCATACTTGAAGCTTATTTTTTACAATACTTGACAGTTTTTAATTGTCAAGTAAGGGTGCGATATATATTAAAGAAATAATACTTGATGGTTAAAAACCGTCAAGTATTAATTTTATACTTGACGTTTATTTGAAAAAACCGTCAAGTATATGAAGTAAATATGCACTTTTTAAAATAAATACTTAACGCTTGTTTTAAAACAAGCGTCAAGTATTTGAAACAAGCGTCAAGTATTTATGACCAAAACCTGCCAGTTCTTTTAGCCATAAATACTTGATGCTTGTTTTCTTATAACCGTCAAGTATTTACAAATACTTGACGTTTGTTTTGAAACAAGCGTCAGCTATATTGATACTTGACGGTTATTTTGAAATAACTGTCAAGTATTAATGACATAATTTTTTTAAATATGGTGGCTGTTTTTAAAGCAGCCACCTGCATAAAGATATAAATAAAGATAAAAAACAGCCAGCCAGAATGAAAATAATGCAATATAATGAATGTTTGTAATAATATTTCCTATCTAATTAACATAAAAATTCCTATACATTTAACTTTAAAATCTAAACTTATTTGCAAACTAATGTTTCAAAATTAAGTGGCCTATCCCATAAAAATTGGCCCAAAAATGTGTATATAAATGTAACTAACTATTGTACTGGCCTAACTACTGTTGCTACCCACATATTGAAAACACATTGGGCCACCTCTTCAAGGACCTCTTCTACATGTACAGTCGTATAACGAACACAATAGACATCCTCGAAGGACTGTAAGCAAATAGTTATAACAATTTCAAGTTAATAGGTAGCTAATTAAAATTGTTTAAAATTTATAATTGAAGTGTAATTAAATTTTATATATATATACCTTGTTAGATAATGTGGTAGGGGCATGAGTGATAATGTCCTTCATGAACTTTATCAAGTAATAACCACAGTCATTGCTCTGATCTGGCTGAAATGGACACTATAAAAAAACACATATCAATGAAATTATAAAATATAATGAGACAATTTCTTGATTAAAAACTTGACCAATTAAACGAATACCTTAACAGTGACCCATTTCTCTGAAGATTTGAATGCCCTCATCTTAGGGGACACAGTCATGTCGATTGCAGTGCGATACAACACCACAGTTCTAAGAAGGAATTATGGAATGAGTGTGAGAAATATATATGAATGAAAACTAAAATTAAAAAGAAATAACAAGTAAAAAAATTTAACTTACTCATTAAAAAGTACCACCATATCTTCCCTGTTGCTTGGCTCTCCATTAAGGGGATCGAGATACCATATTTTTGGAGCAACGGGATTAACCACAATAAGCATCCAGTGTCTCCTAACAAGAAACAGCATATGTTACCAAACAAATAAATATAAAAAAATATTTACTCGTAACAAATATTAACAACTCACCCGTGGCAGTAAGGAGTGAGAAAAAAAGTATCCTTCACTGCTCCCCTTTCTCGAAATTGATCCGAAAGCATTTTTGCTTGATTTTCAAGGGCTTCCTTTGTAATATTATTGTGGGGAGAGACATCATGAGGATTAACCAGCTTGATCTTTGACTCGAGGCCACCAGGAATCACGAATGAGGTATAAAAGTGACTTGGGTGAAACAATATACAAGTTAATATGCTTGTATACTCACACACATAAATAATTCAAGAAATTAACTAATAAATGTTGAAGAATTACCTCATGTAGAAAGTCATCAAACTAGTGCTCGCCATATCGTGCTTGAGGATTTCATTCAAAATTTCATCCCGAACGACTTCAAATGATGCTCTACCAAATAGCCCGTCGTCAAAATTAATGATATCCCCTATCGGCTCTTGACGAATCATCCTCGTAGCCGAAGCATAAGTCTTAAGAGAGTCACGAAATTTATTTTCTACAACAAGCATGGGCACTGCATGTTGCGAAACTGTGACTGACTCTTTAGTATGGCCCGACACCTTACCCTTCAATTTGCTTTTCCCCCTTGGCTATACAATGAAAAAGTTAGACATATATATATATATATATAAAAGATTTTAAATAATTATATAAATCATATATACCTTTTTCTTTGGTGGCAAGGGGTCCTTTGGTGGCTTTGGGTCCTTTGTCGGCTTTGGTGTACCAACCACAATAAGGTGGCTGGGTCATACAACGAAGCTCCCCAACGCATCTCCTACCGTCTGCATCTCATCGGTAGGATAAGGTAATGGATACTTGGGGTCGATTGCAACAAGCAAGGAAACCCTAATGCAATCGGGCGGGAGGGGAAGGTTATGAATTATGTCCCCAGCAATGTTATACACGTGTCCTGTTGCAACTACTTTGCGTGACGGATCATGTGCTAAATAGTTACAGTCATTCTCGCCCTAAATAAATGAAGAACGTTAGTTGTTTAGATAAAAAATTAGTTGAGCAAATTTAAAAGAGAAAATGCATTACCTCAAGTATTTTGTCTGAAGGGATTACAGCTATCTTTTCCGCTGGGGCTAACGTCACCCAAAATTTGTCGTTCTTTTATTTGTCATTTTTTTCAAATAAACATCAATTATAAGACGTCAATTATACACCTTTCTGTAGTAGTGATGGGTAAGTCGTTGACAAAATTTTTTAAAAAAATGAGTTATGAATTCAGAAAATTCTAAATAAAAATTCCTAAATGCAAATTGACTGAAACATTTAAAATTTAAATATTTTATTTATAACTAAAACTCCTAACTTATTTGCCAAAAAATTTTATAGGAAAGACCTAATGAAGTATGATGAGGTAAGTCACATAGACTTATAAATAATATGGCTTCCTACATACTCCATTCATGCCACAATGTAAGGTATAAATAAAATTTTTTTTCTCTTGGTCTAAAATGCAAGATATTGGATAACTTGATATTTATTTTTTCAACTATACCGCCACTTTATTTATTACTCTTTTTTTTTTAAAAAAATCATGCATTGAAATTTTAGTTATTATTATCAAGACTCTTATATATGATATTTAATGAAAGTATAAATAAAAAGATATAAATATTTTTGAGAATTTAAGATTCTAACTAATAGTTTTTGTAAAATGTGAATTAATTAATTATAATTTACTATATCAATATCAATACACATACACACACAAATCTTGTAGCTTCAATCTGATTAGCCAAAAAAAATTTGACTCTCATTGGTTAATAGATTTTAGGTTAATGTTAATATGATAATTTCTCTTAATTCATTAATGAGATTTAATTTTATTTTATATTTTTTTATGTATTTTCAATCTACTTTTATGGGAGCTTTGATTCAAGAGTAGTCCCATTTTTAAATTTTTTTATCGTTAGTATTAACTCTATCCAGCTATCATTCTGCATTCGATATATATACTTTCTCATGTATTTTTAATTTTTCTGATCAATGAAATTTAATTTTTTTTCATCTTTCATGTATTTTTCTAATTTATTGTACTCTATCAATCAACTCTCATCAACTATCATTCATAAATAAAAAAGAAATAAAAGAAATTTAAAATGTGTCAATATCAACAGTATTAATGATATTTATTTTAAATTCTTTAATTTTAACCCATGCAGTTATATCTAGTTATGTCTCAATGGAGTATAGTACATATTAATGTTACGAGAATCAAATGTTTATATAAAGGCGAGGCTCTCCTCCATAGCTAAGGGCCATGCACGGTGCCCACATTTAGAATATTTTAGATTGATAATGGAACACAAGGAAGAATAATAACCGTATTTGTATATTTTAATTAATTTCCAAAAAAATGGGAGTATGGGACTTCCTGTCCTAAATGATCGTCCGAGATTTGATGAAGCCGAGTCATTGACAGATATCACCATGTTGAAGATTTGTGGACTGCCTTGCTGATGGCGAGAAACTTTCAGACCCTAGGTTTGTTTTATTATTATTGCTCGTAATTTCAGTCTTTCATGAAACTCTCCCTTTCTCTCAAAAAAATTGTTGTTGCTGTTTAGATTGGAGTTCGACTGCTTACGACCTATTTTCACATGCATGGATTTTGTGTGGGAATGAGTGAATCAGTGAACAGTCACTCCAACGCGTGGTGTGACTTTTATGGTGAGTGCAGTAATCTGCCGTGGATGGGGATGTATTTGGTTCAGAATACTCTTCATGGCTGTATACGTACGGATCGGATGAGAAACTATTAATAGCATTTGAAAACTTTCTTCCATAATGTTTAATTTCCTTTTCCGTCTCTGTTTTGCTTTAAGCGTGGACGATAGTACGAACATGGTTGACACGACCACAATAAAATACCAAGAGTTGAAATGTGATGAAAGAGGATGTTTCTGTTTGATGGCTGTTACTTTAGAGTGATCAATTTGTTGTGATTTGAAAATGAATGCACCACAATAGCTAGGCTATTGAGTTTTTATTCACAAGGAACAGTGCCTGAAACGCTGATGAGGTCCCACATTCCCGCCTGGCTCCTTTTGGTTTCCTATCTTGTACTCTAATTCTGACGTTTGAGGGTTTCTTGTTTCAATTTCTCTGGGTTATTTTGTTTTGTTTGTGGACATGTGAGATCTTGATTGTTTACGGCGACCATCTTATTTTCTGGGCCAAAAAAAGAAAAGAAAAGACAAGAAAAGAACAAGGGGGCCAAGACATGAAGAGGCTCACGTTATGTTACTGTGCAGCAGAATCTGTACCCTGTAAGTTGCAAGATTTCAAAAAGTCGTACGCAGTAACCCTTCCAATAATATTACAGTTAAAATGCAGAGTTAAGAATAAGAACACAAACAGACTTGACGAGACTACAGGAGTGAAATAGCATCGCAGTAGAATAACCGGTCCCTTCTAAATAAAAGTTGATGTCATAGGATTTCAAAAAGTAGCTGGTAACGCTGCCATCATATCGATCACAAACAGATTTGATGCGAAACGCGCCTAGTGGACTTCGGTTCCATGTGTGTGTGGGTTTAATTTGGAGAGTCCAAGGGCCATCTCTCATTTACCATTTAGAGTCGGGCCCCACCCTGACCGTCCCAAGTGCACCTCACATGCCTCCACGTGCCCTCTTCCCCCTGGACAAGCAAAAAATTCTGAAAAATGTTGAGGATTTTGCACCAACCGCAACATACCACGTGACTACATTTTGACCATCTCATTCTCGCGTTCTATTGACTGTTTCTCACCTTTTATATCAACTTCATATTTTGCACCGTTTTTACTTTTTATTGTTGTGGGCGCCACATAATTCTACGACCTTTGTGGATGCCTGCCTGCCGTTCTTATTGAAACAGCCTCCTCACAAAAAGGCATCGTGGGCTCCATCAGTCACACCCCCCTCCAAAACCTCTCTCTGTTTTATTCTGCTTTTGATCACCCAATGAAATTAACCAATATAACACTCGCATGCTCGGGAAAATTTTTGGGCAGTCAAGACGAAGGCTTCCCTCAACATGCATCCATATTTAAGTCTTAAAAGAAAAAACACTCGAGATCAAATCCTTCACATGCCAAGTTCAGCAGCAGCCAGCAGCGCACTTGGTTGTGAATATTCAAATCCGAATGCGCGGCTTCAGTACTTAGGGCAGGTTTCTAACCACTGCTCTGCTCACACAAGTGCCATGTGCAAGTGAATCCGGCCTCAATAGATTAATCAACGAGGAAACAGTAGCAATGGTAATATGTATATATATATAGCGTTGCCAATAAATTTATAATATGCACAGGAGTGGACTCTAGATTTATAGGCGAAGCAAGTGCAGATGAAGAACCCAACAAACAGCACCGACTCGATGCATATATGTGAAGCAGGCGTGAAGGTGGAATATTGCTGGAGTGATCACGAGATTGACCGTATCTACCACTCCTCCTCTGTTTCACCCGAATAATGCTTTCTGGGAGATTATTAAAGCAACACATGCCATATTTTATTTGATTTTAAAATCTGTGAAATAAGGGGATGGGCAAAGCCTGATTATTTAAAGCGCGAATTGACAAACAAGAGTCATGTTCCTAGGAATACGTGAGGGATTCAGGATTCATGACCATGATTGATGATTAATTATGTTAATTGATGCGCTCTTTTTGACTATCAAGGAAGCAGGGTGATGTCAGGGGCTCATTCATCCATGTGCGCATTTTCTGCTCCTGGAACAGGCATCTTGACCGAACACAGCGCTTGAAGCTTGTCGAGTCACTCAAGCATCACCTCCTCATTCTAATTAACCATCGCAACCCCTCCAAACAAATTGCTTCTTTAAATTCACCAGTGCAGTACGAGTTTTTCCTGTTTTCTTAAAAAGGAAAAAAAAGAATATATAGGCCACAGAAACAAAGGGCGAGGCACAAAGTGGGTGATAGCCATAGGCGTTGCTGTTATAAGTGGGTGTGAGTGGGTTGGGTGATGGACGACAAGTGGAAGGTGTCAAAGAAGGAGAGAGGTCAGAGTTCAAGCAGCCAAGCGTGGAACTGTAATGAGGGCAACCCATTATTCGCGAGGAGTGCCTCCACCTCTAACTCTCCCCTGCTCAGAAGCCTCTCTCACAAGACTCCTTCGTCCTCCTCAAACTCCAAGTCCAGTCTCCCCAGGAGCTTCTCCCAAAAGAACTCCTCCTCTATAGGCAAAAAATGCACCGATCTAGCCAAGGAACACAAAGCCAGGTTTTACATCATTAGGCGCTGTGTTGCCATGTTAGTCTGCTGGCACAAGCATAGAGATTAATTCTTGAAGCGAGTATATATCAGAACGGGACATCCTCACATTTTGTGGCTTTAACTCATATAGATCCACCCTTTTTTCTTTCTCATTTTCAATATAGATTCCATTGTAATGACGGCTGAGTTGAGTTGAAGGTTTTACTTACACTGCACATTGATTTATTGCCATACCTCTCCTTTCTCATCATGTGTCAATATCCCGTGTCTGACTCTGTGATTCTGTGTTTTGCCCCCACTTTCTCTCAGTCTCTCTCTATGTTTTGGTTCAGAAGGCGAGGTCTTTCTTTTTGGCGGAGGAGAGGTAGATTCTCTTCAACTTCTGGAGGATTTTGGACACGCCAAATATAATAAAATAGTATTCAGATCTGCCTAGGAAATGCAAGCCACATTCCTTGCTTTTCCCACACATCGGAACGACGCGTTGGGTCCAAAAAGTCACCACGTCGACTTACTTACATGACTTCGTTCATACTTTCGTTCTTTCCCCTGCCTTCTACGATACCCTCAAGGGGGGTTTTGCAATTTGAAGCAACATCACCTCATAGCCATTCATTTTTGAAGTTCGTGGGAATATGATCATCGATTGGAAATCAAGATTTCCTTTTCTCTTCTTACTAACTGGTCCATGCTTTTCTCGCGAAATCGCTTTGATCAGGCGTTACAATTTAACTATAGCAAGACCCAGCTGAAAAAAATGCAAATTCACTGATTAAGTTGATCTTTTGGTCACATAGAAGCTCCATGACAGAGAAAGAAGGAATGAAGAGAAAGCGAATGGTGAGAATTGACCCGAAGCATCGACTTCGCTTTAGATTTCAAGATTAACGCTAATAATATCTGACGACCCGTCAGTTTTTTCTTTTTCTTTTTGTTTTTTTTACAGAAGCTTTATTTTTATATATTCTTTACATTTTCTTCCATATTAATACTTAATAGGTCTCCTTCATGTTTATATTTGTGAAGCAGCTGTCCCTTCATCGCTCACGTTTACGGTTTACATGGAAATAAATTGAATCATGATGAAAGAATATATGAAACTCTTCCCCTATACAATGGGGTTGGGGAGTCAGCGAGATGATAACATGTCAAGAGTGCTTATTTCGATGGAAGAGTCAAGGAAGACCAACCTGCTGAACGGATACCTCGCGGCTCGAGTATCTCTCTTTTTTGGGTCACAGATGCAGATGCAGATACAGAAGGCTTGAGTATTTTACTGTATTTATTAGAATCGGAATTGGATTTATAATGGTCAAAAGTCGAAAAGCTAACTCAATATTTGTACGGGAATTGTAATTTTTATTTGAGACTCCAGCCCAACTTGAATTAAAATGATTTGAAAAAATTATATTTATTTTATAAAAGCAACAAGTCAGAGATCAAGTCAAGGCCACTAACTCCATACTCGTCATCCACAAAAATTGCTCCTTAAAATTAAGGTCGTCTTTAAATAAAATAAGGCATTCTTTTTCTAGGAACATACTATATAAGTATCAACTAATGTCATATTCATCAGTTGTTTCGTTTTTGTTTTTGTTTTTTTTTTTGTTTTGGTTGTTGTTGAAAAATAGACACATTCTTGGAGACACCATCTAATACGTACACGAAATTTCCTTCAAGAGTCAGGTGCGAGGACGGAACATCCAACTGATAACACGTAAAAACACAAGTTGAACACCAATTCTCGTCATTTCTTCAATCTTATTGAACAGCTCGGGAAAGGGGGGGAAGATAAAAGAAGCCATGGCAAAATCCCATAACCTAAACCAAAAAAGGGAGAGAAAAGAAGTGCAAGAGATGAAGAAAGTTTGTCAGGGGATATATAAAGAAACCATAGAAATCAGCACTTGGGAAGATCGGGCGGCGGAGGAAGCATCTTCTGATCAGGGAGCTTCCCATCTTCCACAATCCAAGCCATCCTCAATCCCCAACTCAGGTGCGCGTCGAAGTGGCAGTGCATCAACCACACCCCTGTTTCATTCATTCCCCGAGCATCAAATCAAATAATACTCATCCCATAACGTCAAATTCTAGACATCAATTATTGACTTGGCAATGACAAAATTTCATTCATGGTGGACAGGGATAGAAGAATATATAATACCCACCCGGGTTGTCCGCCAAGAAGCGTATTGCGACCCAACCCCCAGAAGGCACACTAACAGTGTTCCTCTCAACAGGGTCCATAAGATTAAACTTTCGTGGATCTGTCTCGGGGTTGAAGTTCCCAAAACCTTGACCCACGACGTAAAAATTGTACCCATGAAGATGCAAGGGATGGCTCTCGGCTCCTAAAATGCTAGTGTCCTGCAATACCACCTCCACGCTTGTATTAAAAGCTATGACCAGGAGCTTCGTTCCGTAGCTCACGGCAGTGTTCTTAGGAGGAGTGCCCGTATAGTTAAACGGAGTGAGCGGGAAAGCCGGGAAATCAGGGGTGTAATTTTTGGCCAGCCCGAAGAAGTGCTGCTGCAGGATGGCCACGGAAGGCAGGGTGAAGGATATGTTATTCACGGAAGCCTGAAATTTGGTTGTGTTAGTGGGCCCCTGACAGGTTTGGTTTCTCGGACACGGGCTACTCCCAAGGCCCACGGTGAAGAGAAAGTGCCTGTCCACCTTCTGGGGAACGTGGGCTGGGTACTTCGGACTGTTCAAGCTCCGAAAGTTGGTGCTGAGATTGGCCACGAAAGAAGTGTCGTTGATAGCAGGAAGGGCGGTTTTCCAGAGGGGAAGATGAAGATTGTTGGTGTTGGATGGGTTTTGGTGTTGATATTCAAGAATGCCAGCGACAGTGGAATTGTCGAAAGTGCCCGTTCCAGTGAAGTAGGGCCTGGCTAGGATGAAGAAAGTGGCGTTGGGGTGGAAAGGTTTTGTGGGAACAAGGACGTTTGTGGTCTGGCCGGGTGCTACGAGGATGGTGTCGGAAGTGAAGGGCTTGACGTAAGTTGCATCGGCTTCCACCACAGTAAGGCTGTGGTCGGCTATTCGGAAGAAGAGCTCGTCGTTGATCGCAGCGTTGATCAGTCGGAGCAGGTACGTCTTTCCTGCTTTCACTTTTATCCTCAACGTGTCTGCCCATCATCATCAACATCAAATCCTTTATAAAAATTTTCCAGAAAAATAAGAAAAGGAGGATATTGAGAATTCTGTTGTGGTTTGAGGGATGAGGGAGAATACCATTAGCAGGGCAATTGTAGAGGGGCCCAGGGAGGCCGTTAAAGGTGTAGGCATCGGAGACATTGGGGCCCGCACCTGTCTGAAGAGCTTGTGATATAACAGTCTCTGGATCCGCATTCCACCACTCTCCTACACATTACAATAGCAATAATCAGAAACCAAGAAATTCAATGAAAGCATGAAGATGATATGCAGCGAGTAGGTAGGACAAGTACCGAAGAGGATGGTGAGTTCCTTGTAGGGTTTGGGAAAAGGATAGGATTCGTGACGGCGAGGGAGAATGATGAGAGGACCATAGAGGGATGCCCTTAACCAGGAGATGTGAGCATGCCAGAACAAGGTTCCTCTTTGGCCGACAATGCTGAAGTTATACACATAGCTCTCCCCCGTCTGAATTGGACATTGAGTTATGTACGACGGCCCATCCGACCATCCACTCCTCAGCTGTCTCACTCCGTGCCTGTAATTGTTTTACCCATTATTCTTTAATCAATATGCCTCATATCAACTCCCTCATCGACATTCACCATTCTACTACATTCTTTTATCTACCCATTACGTTACTTAACAGGAGAATATTGAAGCTCATGTTCGATATTACATTACCAGTGGATGGTGATATTGTTTGCAACATGATTGACCACCTTGACCAATAACCTGTCCCCTTCTCTGGCAACAACACCAGGCCCTGGAAACATTCCATTCACCGTTACCATGCTCTTTGTGTGGCATAGCCTGGTAACGTTTTTCAACTTTACCTGCAGCCAAAAAGAAAGGGATCATATTCAACATGAGAGAATCAACCTTGTTCATTTCTAGCATATATGTAGAGAGATTCGTACATGGAAATTGTAGTGCCTTGTGATGCCTGCATGGCTTGAAGTGGCGAGAGCAACGTTAGAGAACGTCCAAAGGAAGCAGCAGGTGGCGAAGAGCAATGCCACGGAGAAACTTGGCATTGAATGAAGTGAGGTAGGGATCATTCTTTTCTTTTTTTTTTTTTTTTGAAGAGTCAGATGCTTCTGCCTCTGACTACAAGCGGAGATGATAATTATGTGATATTAGTTGCGAGAAAGTTATAAGAGACTTGGGTTATATACAACTGAATTATCGAGTAGCGTTTGGTGATCGGTTAGGTATCTCATAAATTTCCTGGTTTAGGAACCAAGCATTCCGAAAGATCGGGACTCCAAAACTCCTCGAAAAGATTTTTACCTAGCTAATATACGCTGCTTATTGGTCGTCCTCTATACGTATCTTCTAGTTCTGGAGTGTCGTTATTTTTATTTTTATTTTTTTTTCCTTTTGATACTTCATTCTTGTCATCGTTTTCAATACCCTTTGAATTTTACTTTTCCAGAATAGATTATATTTTAATGTGAAAACTGAAACTCAAGTCATTGACACGTTTTTACAATAACGGTTATACCATCCATATCAGAACTAATGAAATTTACAACAGACATTTTTTTAGGCAGAGCAAGCATCAAAGTGCAGCTTTTCCTTGTTTGCCCCCATAATGTAAAATCTGACATTTTTTAAGGCAAGCAAGCCCTTATTATACCATGAATTTCAGCCAAAACTTTACGTTTAATTTGGGAAGGATGCTACCACTTGGTATCCATAAATCTAACTCGAGCCAGTAAAAGAAATTTATATGGATTGAACGATATGATCAGAAGGAGGTGTTTGAAAGTAGCTGATATAAGAAGATAGATGATGCGGTTCGAGCTATAAAATTGACGGTACTAGCTAGAAGCTTAACTATTATCAGCTATGGCTGAATTCTTCTACACATGCATTATACAAAGAAACCCCCAACAAGTATATATTTGTTTTAGGGTTTCGAGAATACGATATATAATAGAGTAATTTTTGAAGGATTTGCTTGAAAAGTGGAAGGCTAAATTAGTTTGAGTACCCTGCTTTGGACTAATTAATTAAGCTTGATCCATTTTGTGATTGACGACGATGTCTCTTTAAATATGCTAACATAATAAATAGCTATTTTATGAATTTTTATGTTTACAAATGACATCTTTATCATCGTTTTCGATGGTGAGCTTGCTTACAAAAAAAAAAAAAAAAACTAGAAAGAAAAAGATCAAGAGTTTGCGGAGCATCAGCTGTGGTTTTATTTTCTAGCAAAGAGTTGCAAGTATGAAACATAAATCAAACTAGACTTTAGTTAGTTTAAAAAAATAAATAAATAAATAATCCCGATCGATATGGAGAGCTATTGAATGCAGACGGAGAGGCATTTTGGTAATTTTCGTGACTTTTGTTGAGAGATAGCTAGTGAATAGAATCCGTCATCTACATCTATCTATACTTCAATTCCTTGCTGAGGGGGATTTTAAAACAAGAACGAAGAAGAGTGGGGAAAAAACAGGGAATTTCAAAATCAAGCCATTTAGACTTGTTAAGCAAGGCAGGCAGGCAGGCAGGCAGGCAGGCAGGCATACTGTTTGAGAGACGATTTGAGGCTGAGCTAGAGTCAGGAATTAATGACATGTCGTTAAAAAAAAGGACTGAAATTGGACGTGAGACTGGTGGGTGATTGCACCATTCTCAACCAAACAGTGCCTTTAGGAAGTGATTAATTCGGGTCAGAGATATAAGAAAGGACATAGAATGACACTTTACCCACCTCTTCGATCTTCAGGTGACAAAGCTCTTCTCCAAGTCTTTGCCATTCCCCTCAATTAACTTTCACTATATCGTTGCTCCTAATTAATGTCTAGGATAGGATTAGCCTCAACAACATCAATTAATTGAAGAACCGTCGACAGCAATCCATGGACTGTGATGTTAACCTTAATAGTTAACCAATTGAATTTATATTAATGACCACATACATATACGGATATACCTGCCCGTACGTAGCGATGGCGACTTGTGAGTTAAGATTCAACGAGCTTTGTGCTGGCGAAGGGGAGATTTGTGACTAATTGTGCAATTTAAGGAACCCAGCGGCCAATTTCTTATTGACACAGTATTTAATTTGAAGTTGAGTGCTCTGATTCTCTCAATTCAGGGTGTGAAAGAGATTGGAGGATTACATAGAATCGCCCAATATGATAGATGAGTCAATGGAATTGGGCTCACTGCTTTTTATTTATTTCTTGGAAATTAATCCTTCCTAGTTTAGGGTGTGTCTGCTGCCTCCCACATTAATTATCACAAAAAGTAAGCCACCCTGGGAGCATAGCAATTAATGCTCATTTATTGTCCAAAAATCCTGCCTATTGGTGATTTATGTCGGTCCCGATTCACTGAGAAATCCCCAGTGGGAAAAAATTGAATATGAGGTGGACCCACCGCAGTGGATCCTATCTGGCTCTCTTCATATCTCATTTCTTTCTTTTTCTCTTTGTTGGGTTATCCTTGAATTCATTTCATGTCCTTATTATTTATATTTAAATTTGAAAGATAGTACGGTTCTTCACCTTTACAAAATTCTCTCTCTCTCTCTCTTTTTTCATTAGTTGGCTTCTAAATATTCTTTCCATATCAATAATCAATTGACTGCCAGAATTTTTTATTTAATGCGATTAGTCTAGAATAGTATAGTGCTACAGTATATATATACTATATATCATAGAGAATTATACATGATCCTTGGGTTGTGACTGAAATTGTTTTCACTAATAATATTGAATGTTCTCGTTACTGAAGGGGCGTTAATTATATTAGTTTTCTCATAGAAAATACTTAAACCGATTCCGCGCTTCTTCTTCTTTTTTAAATAATGACAACTAAAGAAATTTTTCAAAAAGTTAATCTACTAGATTATAATTTGGTAAAGATTTCCAGTGCTAACACATTAATATATAGGAACAGTGGCGGAGACAGGATCCTAAGACAGGAGGTGCATAGTAATTTAATGAAAAATTAGTATTTTTTAAAAAATAATAATAATTATGCTAAGATTAAAATTATAATAATATAAATAAATTTATTATCATTTTTTATTTTAAAAAATTATATTGAATAAGTTGATATAAAATTTTATTATAAATAAGTTCTTTATATCTTATTTAAATTATTAAATTATTATATATTTAATAGATTTTTAAATCTAAATATTTTTTTATTTAGTTCAAAGAGAGTAAAATATTAAAATAAGAGGTATAAAGTTATAAATTTTACATGTTTCATTTATAATTTTTTTCAGAGTGAGAGGATACATTTGCACTCACTTACCCCAACGTGGCTCTGCCACTGTATAGGAGGATGAGTACTGAATATGAAAATCTAAAATTTGATTAAATTCTCATTTGACATCAATTCTTTCATGAGATGCTTAATATCATTCTCCTTTTTTTTTTTTTTTTGCAAACACAAGTAACGTGAAATTGGCAGAAACAGCATCCTTAAGAAATGTAATAGTAAGTTGACATGAAACTTATAAATAACCTTAAATCTAATTTAAATATCATAACAGTACGTACCAATGTGCCATGGTGTTACAGCAAAATAGTACTCTTCCATAATAAAATATTTGTCACTTCATCCTCTTTCGAACGCGCAAAAAAAATGATTAGATAACCTACATTATAGTAAAATTAATGTAATAGTATCTTTCCAAGAATATATATCCTAAAAAGATAAAATAAAAAATTAATGATTTATTGAAATCCTAAAAACAGAAATATTTTGAAAAATTATAAATACTCCAAAAGTGACAAACAATTTGAATTTTGAATCAACCCCTGAGATTGCACATAAATTTCACGTCTCAGCTGAAAAAAAAAATAATATTAGATGGAAGTAACTAAAATATTGTGTCAGGAGTCTTGAAGTTTTTATACATGTTATCTTTTCTTTTTCCATAAAATGTTTACGTTTTTTATCTTATTAATTATTATATATTAAAAATTACATAAAAAATTAATTTATGAAAAAAATAGATATCTGAAATTATGTAATACAATTTTTAAAAAATTACATTGTATTTTACTTTTCATATATGGATAAGAATAAATTAAATTACATATACATAAGTTTTAATTTCAATTCACAATTGAAAAAATAATACTCCATCCATTTAAAAATGTAAGACATTTTTTAAGGAATTGAATGTTAAAAAATGTAAGACATTTTTAATCTTTCAAGGTGTAATCATTGTCTTTTTTCTAAAAGTATACTTACTAACAATGACTTTATATGTATTATAGAGTATTTAATAGGGGTCAATATGAAAAGATAAGGTTAGTGTGAAAATAAGTAATTACTTTATTGGGGATGAAATTCAATTAAAAATGCTTTATATTTTTAAACGGAAGGAGTAGTTTGGAAGTCTAATATAATCAAGGACATCTAGCTTATACATATTACTATTCATTTTCAATAAAAAATATTTGTTAGTTTGTTCAAGCTATCAATAATTATATAAGTAAAAAGTAAGTTTATATTAATTTATATTGAGCCTTTTGGTTTTTTGATAGCTTGAACAAATTAACAAATATTTTTTATTGAAAATGAATAGTAAGATGTATAAGCCAGATGTCATTGATTACATTAGACTTCCAAACTACTCCTTTAGTTTAAAAATATAAAACATTTTTAATCAAATCTCATCCCCCATAAAGAATTAGCTACTTTTCAACTAATCCTATCTTTTCATATTTATTCTTATTAAATATCTTATAATAAATATAAAGTCATCATTATTAAGGGTACTTTTAGGAAAAAGGCAATAATTACACCTCAACAGATTAAAAATGCCTTATATTTTTTAATATCCAACTCCTTAAAATGCCTTATATTTTTGAAAGGAGAGAGTGTAATATCCTAAGTTTTCCATTAGAAATTATCAATATTTTCAAGGGTAATTTGATCAATTTAAATAAATTTTTGATTTAGCGAGGTCTATGGGAGACTAATATGGTTTTTAAATTCTTGGACAACCTTAGAAAAAAAACTAGGTTGATGTTCAAGCAGGCCATGACACGGAAGGGAGTTTAAAATTTTATGAAATTTTCTGTGCCATGCGCTGCGATACACATGCAAAATCTGCACTTATCAAATCGTGAATTAGACTTGAAAAACAAAAGAGAGAAAATAGGAATTCAAGAGCAGCGATGAAGAGAGACTTATGCTTATTAGGGCTTGCTTCCAACATGATTTTGGAAATCGTTCAAGCTTCATATATATTGGGTAAGCCTTCCTTTCTTCTCTCTCTTCCTTTTTTATGCAAAAATCTGGATTTAGTGGGGCAATGGGAGCTTTGATTTTAATTTTTTAGATCAAACACATTGATTTATTTAATGTCTTGGAGATTTAAATCAAGCCTCCAATCTTAATTTTATGAGTTTTGTGGTGATTAGGAATTTTTTGTAAGGGTTTGGACGAACCTTGAATATAATTTAAGGATTTGAAGATAATGTGGGATATTGATCAGTGAATTTGGTGTGTTAAGATGTTTAATAAGATGGCTAGAGTGTTTGGGAATGATTGGTGTTGTCAGAAAAGAAATTTGAATATTTTAGACACTAATAACCTAGAGAATTTGAAATTATCCAGAGTGATAATTGATGATTGTCACTTGATTGTGTAGATTGAGCATTACTTGAGCTATATCGTATTTATAGAATGTGTGGAGCTAATATTGAACCACAACAATCCTTTTGTATGTGACAAAAGATTAAGGTAATGGAATAATTTACACTAATTGATTATATTACTTAACTATTTATGAGTATATATGTGGATTTGAACTTGAGATTTGATAACCTTGCATATTGTGAAATGTAATTTTGCGCATGAAAATCTATTTGCAAATGATAGGTATGATGAAAGTTATATATGAATGAGTTGAGAAATTTGAAATGTGATATATATGTTGAGTGTGGGCATAATCATATTAGGGGGTAGGAGTTCACTCGTAGGAAGGAGTAGTGAAAGTCCATATAACATGTATTTCCTTAATATCTAGTGAGACACGATATTGGATATTTTCTCTTTAGTATCCATATGAGATACGGTGTTAGAGAGTAACACTCCTTAGCATCAATAATGCGGTGTTGGAGTAACAACACCTCGATTCATGTGCAATAAGGAGAAATTATAGTCTAAAAGTGAGATAGGACACCTTTGGCCGAGTAATCCTACCACTGAAGGTGAGCTCAGATTATTATAAATGTGCACTTGGTCCAAAAGCCTATGGTTATAGTAGGGATGATATAAAGGCTCGGATAGTAGAATGATCATGCTAGAGGTAAAAGATTTATATTGATGAAAAGAGTATGTGGTGATATGCTAAATGTATATTTTGAAGTTCCATAGTTTTACTCCCTTATGGTTGTATATGTTAATTAATAATAGTGAATTATTCTGTTACTGAAATGTTTATCTCACCCTGTGGTTATATTTTTATAAGTGATGATTTCGGTAAGGACAAAGGGAAGGAAGGGGCAATTGAAGAGTGAAGAGTGTTGTAATATAGCTCTTCCCCTTTCTCTTTTGGGTTTGTAATGAATATTGCCATTATATATTGCCAACTTAGGAACATAATATTATTTTGGATATCACTTGTATGAATTTATGATAAGTGTGCATATCTTAGTTCAAAATTGATGTTGTGGATTAAATTTGTGTGCTTGGCCAAGTTACCATTACAAGTGAAGAATTTGAAGAGATTTATGTACCAAAATGATCAAGTGACATGTGTGTTAGAATTTATCCACGCCTTTATATTGTTGTGAATTGGAGTTTTAATGGTCATTTTGAATATGAATACTTAATTGTTTGTTACGATTGAATTGTCATGTTATGTGTGATCTATTTGAGGTGGTCAAAGTGCCTCGAGGGCTAATGGCATTTGGTATTGTGAGTTGGACACCCTTGATGTATGTTTTAAGATGAAAACGAATCATTTTGGAGTCAGTTATCTATCTTTTAAATGGATGATTATTTGAGTGTGAAACTAGTGCCATTAAATAGAGAGTTCAAAGAGCTTCGTGTGGACGCTTGAACTGTTCAAATCAGACATCAAATGGCGAAATGGTGCCCTTCAGAAGTTCGGAGGGCTGTCATGATAGCAATTTATCGTTATGACAGTGGGTGAGCGCTACAGCACGTGGTTGTTGACCATGGTTTGAGCTCAAATTATATTTTAGATAGCAAGAGGCCTTCAAGGGACTTGTCCTTTTGTGCCATCCGCCACGGTGAGCATGCCTTATGCCGTGGTGGACGGACCAGAATTGTAGAAGATTAGCGTTTCAGCCTAATTTTGACATGGTTTGTTTTTCATATTTCTGTGTTTACTATTGATTAATTTTTTACCATGGTTTGAGCTCAAATTATATTTTAAAAAAGGTTTTTTTTAAATTTCAATGTTTTAAATTAATTATCATCAAACCCTTGAGTTGTGGTAACTTTTTTAAAAGATTTTATTTAATTCTAATTATCACAACATTGTGTGAATATTATCCTGATAATGTCAAAAGAAACATTTCAGGGAGTATATAATTATATAAGTAAAAAAAATAGACCCACAATAAAAGTTTACATTAATTTATCTTGAACTTTTTGGTTTTTTGGTGGCTTGAACAAACTAACAAATTTTTTGATAAAACGAATATTAATATAATGTATATAAGCCATAGGTGTCCTTGATTATATTAGACTTGAATTTATATAATTATATAAGTAAAAAATAGACCCATAATAAAAGTTTTTATTGATTTATCTTGACCTTTTTGGTTTTTTGATGGCTTGAACAAACTAACAAATTTTTTATTGAAAACGAATAATGCATGTATAATACCTGAATATAATGTATAAACTGGGTGTCCTTGATTATATTAGATCACACAAGCAAAGAAATGTTTGTAAATTTGAGATCAAATTCTATTGTCGATATGAGAATCTTAGAGAGAGAGAGAGAGAGAGAGATGTTTCTCAAACCCCTTGTAATTAAGACCGTAACGGCAAACTGTATGAGCTAAAGTTTTGGAAATATTCTGGCGATCGAACTACAGAAGTTTATTCCCACGTTATATATATATATATATATTCATCCCTCTCCACATGATCAGCACATCCCATACTGTCTAACCTGTGGAATGATTGAAGCAAAGTGATGCAGAATATATGCACAATCACGAGCGCAACGACAATAAAAATGAGGAGATCGTTACGATTTTCCTTCCAAACGTAGATAAGTTAACGTACATGATCTTTATACATAACATTACGATTTAGAATCCCCAAGAAATGAGCTTAAACACATCTGATGAACAAAGAAGCATCACATATACAGAACATGGACCCACAGATCATCCCAATAACATATATTCATTTATCAGTCCCATATCATGACAATGGCTATAACAGCGACCCCAGAAAGCACAGCAAGAAACTTGAACCAAGGAGTGCCGAAACTGCTCTTTTTGCTGGGTTTGAAGCCTTTGGATATCAAGTGATTGATAGCGACATATATGAAAACCCCACAAGCAAGGCCCATCGAGATTGCGTACACCCAATCTGCGGTGCGTCCCTCTGCCGTGGCCTCGATGGCGATTCCTATTCCCACACCAATAGGGCTTGAGACTGCGAATGCAAAGGAATACGCCACAGTTGTCAGAAGCGGTCTCTTTGGCAGCATCCTCAGCAGAGCGATTCCCATCCCTATCGCTGCAAATATCTTGTGCAACGATATGGTCCATAAGTTCCTCCATGCTTCCCCCTTGCTCCCTATTTTATTATTTTTGTTTAGAAATTAGTTAACCATCTATATTCCAAGTACATAAAGCTAAGGGCTATGAGTTCTCATTAACTAACCTTACCGTGTTTTTGGTGCACCTTTATCTCGTATAGATTTCATTTATTACCTTGTTAGATCTATATACAAGACATGCATTCAGGTTTAATTATGTCCTAGGCTACTACGTCGTGCTCCTGCTATACTGGGCCTAGTCGAATCAAATGACTGAACTTATCAAACTAGTGAACTACGTACGCTGTCGAGGGAGTCTCCTTAAAAACCACTAACTGATGATGATTCATGTGTTACATATTTTAAGGATATTCTTCTCTTTTCTACACTGTTTTCATCTCTTTGAAGCTCAAATCGGTGTCCTCCATGGCTCCCTCACAACATTGATTGCTCCCTCCTCTATATTGCTAGAGTACTTGTCCGTTCGCCGCTAGTGAAAGACCAAATGCTGTCGAAGGCAGCAAACTTAATTACCCAAGATGCTCATATTCAGGAAATTGAAAATTGTCAAAGATATGAGTGATGTTGTAGTAAAAGTAGTATGATGCGTGTGTTAGGTTTTCATTTTTTTTTTTTTTTAAATCACTCATCTTGCACACCCCCATGTAATTGATACTTTGCTGAGATAGGGAAGGGAGAGCATTGGTATGACAAGTTCCCTGGAGGAAATCAACAAGAAATTTCCATAAATTAAAAGACAAGTGTGTGTGTGTGTGTGTGTCGAAATACCTGAAACTCCGACTGCAATACCCTCAAAAACCGAATGAAAACACAAGGCAAGGATGAGAAGAATGGTGTCTCCCACATTAGAAGTCTTGAAAAAAATGGGGTTATCCGCCAATGCAACTTCTTGGGCTTGTTCTTGTGGGGTACTTCCCCCTTCCAGTTCCAACACTTTGGCTTCCCTATCCTGATTACCAGTCACATAAATCACTACACAATCGCCAAGCATGGTCAGGAGATAGCCCGCACAAGCCAGCATGAAAGCGAAAGGGTATGTTTTGGTGGTGAGATCGCCAAAGGTCTCATTGGCATCGCTCAAGAAATGTATCATAGAGGTTCCCAAGAAAACCCCACCAGCGAATTGAGTTCCCAGAAGAAGAAATGTCTCGTTCCACCGGAAAAAGTACGGCGACATGCCACTGGCGAAGGTGCTCGATAGTAAAATGATCAAACACCATACTTTCACTAAGACCAGACCCCTTGAACGCAAGTTTGCCGTCTCTCCGTCGATGCCATGGTCATCGCCTCCGTGAGCTTTGATCGGATTTAAGTGCCAGCCAATGAGGTAAAGGAACAGAAGCGTTGACCTTTGGGCAGCCATGGGAGCCTACGAATGTCGTACACCTGAGTGGCTAACGTGCTTTGTATAATATCACATTTTTGGTTTCGTTTTGGTGCTATTTAGATTGTACTGCAATTTGACTTTTCTGGGTTAAGCATTGGATCGCTTGTACTACACCACGTGGGCCTGTTTAACCGATTTTTTTTTTCTTATAACAATGTTATAACCGAAATTTAATGATGATAATAATATGGCAAGACTGTTCGCTCAGTTTACTAAATAGACAACACTAACTGATGATAAGGATTGATAAGAGTAAAATATTAGTAGTTCAGGATTTATATTACAACTTTTTTCTTAGGGATTTTGACCTTTAACTTTTACCATTTTTTTTATTCTTAATATTCAATCAATAATTATTTCCAAGCTTAATTTGAACGGTATTATTAGATAAATATTGACATATAGCTAATAAAATGTTAAAAACAATGATTAAAGAGTTAAAAATATTTTGTTACGGAATTAGAATAGTATTATTTTGGTCGGTTAAATTTCCTAGAAATTGTAATTAGGAAAGACATCTAATATTCTATTTAACATGATAAAAATAATAAAAAAGGCAACTATCATATATTTAAACTATTTTACATATGAAATGAAAAATCATAAAAAAGATCAACTTGTTAAATAAAATTTAAAAATAATAGTCATTTTCTATACTATTTTAGTGTAGCTATTTATTATTTTGAAATTACAATTTACTTTTGAATTATTATTATCAGTTTGTCAAAAAAATTAATATCAAATAAATTCATAGAGACTTTAAAATAGTTATTTTATTTTATAAATCTCTTTTGTCATTTTTCATCAAGATTTATTTATTTTTCTTCGTTAAAAAAAAGTAAAACAAGAATAGAAATTGTTAAAGGAGCATTGACGGAGACATGATAGAAACAACAATTTGGTCTTTTTGCCCCGTTGATTATCTTTAAAAAAAAAAAAAGTGAGTATAAGCTTTTCACCAAGTCCTTTACCCATTGGAAGGCGCTTTTACGTCAAGATTTACGTGAAGATCATGCCCTGAATATTGTTTTTTATTTGAAAAAATTTAGACAAATTAAGTCTCAAAGCTCACGGCTTGAACTTGTCTTTAAGTCAAAAAATGTTTATAAAAATCTATTAACAAATTACTTACATCGACAAATAGATTTAGTCACTCTCAATATCATTTTAGTTTTAGGTTTGCTTTGCTTTGGCCTTTCTCATGTATTTCTGAAAAACATACAACTTTTGTCTGTTGTCCGTGGAATTTTGAAACAGCAATACTCGTGCTATTGCAATGTAACGCGCAAAACTACAAGGGAGAGAGAAACATCAATCAAATACCTTCTTATCATGCGAATTACGAAGGGATACACACATTTCATTCTTCATCTAAACACGAAATACAATGGTACGTACACATCCACAAGTTTATACCACGCATTTGAAGAATGCTACACAATATCTAAGCCTTCAGACCCACTCTGCCCCCTGTTTCCCTGAGATCCCGACCCCATCCTAAATTTACACACAGGGCATTTTGCTTGATGTCGCAGCCACGGATCGATGCAGTTCATATGAAACTGAGTCAACGCAAACATACAGAGCAATGTGAATAATAAATAACTTAAACGCAAGTCACACACATATTTATAATCACCATTTGAAAGGGCTCTGAGATCCTCTTTCAAATCAAACGAGTCATGCAGCAAGAAGAGAAGCAAAACAAATTCAGAATTAAGGGGGGAAAAAAGAGCATGTCAATTTGATCAAGCATGAAAACTTCAGATACAGTAGCCAGGGGCCGAACCTGATGCAAGCATGGCAAGCTACGAACTAGTTCCCCTCCCTTAACTTGTTCCAAACATATAGTACATGTTAGTTCATCTTCTGAGCCATTCACATTTCCCTCTGTTCCTCCATTATCCTGCTTGCTTTAACATCATTAGAATTAGATATTAAAGAGCATATGTCAATATTAAGCGAGAACCCGTCCTGTTTCAGTATTATCCTTTTATTTCATCACGTTTGGTTCGATCTTATCTTATAATAGGCCTAACAACTAAACATAAGCAACACACACATATTTCTACCATTTTCCTTATCAAATAGATGTTTGAGGCTACAATTTTTCCTAACAGATCTCGGCCAAGGTTCTACTCTACAATACCCACAAGCATAATCTGTAAATATCTAAAACAGAATAGAACAACAAAAAAATTATATCAAGACTAGCTAGTATTGCAGTTACACATATGAAATTGTAATTGAAAAATGTCACAGGTCCGGTTTTGAGACTTGCATAGAATGGTTAAGTGTTTTTCCGGTTTTACTCAAAATTCTATTAAAGCAATAGCATCACCACGGAGAGAATAAAGCTTCCAAACAGGAGTAGAAGTGAGCATTTGCATCATCATTGCTAGCAATCGCCTTCGTAGCACCATAAAATGGAAAGAATCACGAAGCTAAACAAAATACAGAGGTGATAGAGTTGTTTACCTCAGTTGAACATGAAGAGGATGCCAACCCAGCTGAGCCATCCCTGTTGAGTGTTCACAGACACAAATTTTGGGTCACATCATTTTCATGAGTTAGTATTTCATATAGGAACATGGCAGGCGATGAACGAAAATTATTATAGCAACTTACAATGAGAATCCGAACGTATTATCCTGATTTCTTAATGCTTATGAACGTATTATTTTCAGAACCTTCTAATTGCTACTTCTTTTCTGACCGTCCTCAAGTAAGCCGATCAGCCAGTCCTTCAAGAGCAACTTAACACCTACCAATTATGTTGCTTTTGCATATTATTTAATTTAAAACAATAATTAACCAAGGATTAACACCAGATCTCACTTTTCTCTCAACAACATTGGCAATTGGGGGCATCAGTTCAAAATCGCAGGCAAAGCCAAATTTTATAGCTTCACTGAGGCATGTCTGTCTTTGCCAGAAGAATAAATACCTGTCCATCGCTTCCTTGAACCAACAAACTTCTCCAGTAAAAGGGAAATTAAGGCTTTTATTTAGACCTTCCCATTGATTTAAATCTAAATAAAACCTGCCCTACCCGTCCAGTTTTCTGAATACAAACATACCCTAAAAGAGCAATGTATTAGGATAGGTTGATAGTCGCCAACCTATACAGAACCCAGAAGACTACACAAACACAAGCAAGAAGGGAGGCCTTCCTCTGCCTAATTCAATTATTTTTCTTGAAAAGACTACCACAAACTTACTTTGTTGGGACAGGAACTTTATATTTGTGAACAGGTAAGGCATTTATCTCTTCATCAGTCATTGAAGTAGCACTAGAACCGGTGTCAGAGTCCAGAGCCCTCAATGTTTCATAGTCTGCTTTAGTATGAAGGAAGAACAAAAAGAATTACATGAACCTTCATCTGCTAGCACGTGAACTTTGGAGGCACCTTGATCTTAAAAAGAACACTAAATCACATAAAAGTTAAAGTAAAAATCTGAAGCAGGATACCAAGCTCATCAAATTCACGGTCAAGAAGTGCAAGCTGAAGTCTCAGTCCTTGCAAGCGTCCTCTAGTTGCAATTGCTATTGATTGTGGCACATGAAGTTGTAATTCAGCTGCTGCAGCATGAGCCCTTGCTTGAGCTTGAAGTTGTTGCCAAGTTGCATACATCCTCAGGCTTGTGGCCATCACAAACACAACCAGCATGAGCCACATCTACGATCAATTGCATCCATGGTTATCGAATTGTAAATGATATAAGCTTCTCAAAAGTTAAAATTGTCGCATAAAATGCTTCGCGATTTCTTACCAAAAAATGTGACATTTGGGGAGAGTTCAATATCATAAATAGCAAGATAACTGCAGAATAATCACGTCAGCTATGAACTAACGAAACGTTCTCAAGGAGTGGGAAAGCATCATACATAGAAGTTACTATATTACCTGTTATAAGAAAAGCTAGAGTATTGCTATTTACTGGCCGGGCCGGGTGAACACGCTGACGGGAAGAAGGAGAAGAGCTATGGTCAAATAATCTATTAATAAAATCTGAGCTTGTTGGAAGAAAATTGTCACGAAGACTGAATGATGTTCAAGGGAACAATATATACCATCGTGGTTCTTTCGGGAACATATTCTGAAAATCCACTTTCCATGTCTCCTCTACTCCCTCGGAAGACGAAACTCATGATTGCTTCTCTTTCAACCAACAGGTCTCAAAGACAATATGTCTGCCAGCACACATCACAAGAGAAAGTTAAATATCTGAATGCACCTGCTTTCAGTAATTGACAAGCCAAATATATAATGCCAATCCCGTGTCTTTGAACTGACTGTGAAGAATGGCTACGTTATAAGTAATTCTGCAATCAAGCATCAGCAAGAGCACATAGACAGAGATCAAAGCGAGAGACATAATTAACAATCACACTCATAAATTGCTTATGAGGATCACCAATTTAACTACAAATAAAAATAGAGTTTAAGGCTAGAATCATGACAATCTCCCCTTGATGTCCAGAAACTAATGCAACATCGGGGAAAACCAGGTGAATATAGCGCAAACAGTGATATATAAAACTGACATGACAGCGCATTCACTGAAACCAAGTGAAACAATACCGTCACATTCTGAGGGATGACAGGCTAGAAATGCGATCACCTGAAAATCAACAATACCTATTCTCTCTTTTCCGAGAAAACTAAGAGGACTGGCGGAATTTAAGCAAGCGTAGGATTAATCACGAACGATCAATAGGAAAAAGACCCCGGTTTATAATTGTGAAGGAGAGAGAATTAAATGATATGGATGATTACAGGATTATCCAGAATGCTCTGTGAGATTCCGTTTAATGTGAAAAGCATGGGATTGCTTTTCTGGTGATTCATTATCGGGAACCAACGAGATTTCACTGCAGAAAATAATTTTGGAAAGAAAAGATATTTAAACAAACAAACAAAGCTTACAAATTAAATGGCGATGGTGGTCAGGAGGAGCGTGGTGCAGGGAGAAGTGAGTAGATCTTCAACCGGAAGGCTGTTCCGTTCCTTTCAGTGTTGCTGGCGGTGATGTGCTACTTCTCTTGCCAACTATTGCTTACTCTATAGATGCAATTACTTGTTCACCTATTGTCCTATTTATTATTTATTTAAAAAGAAGAAATATTGGGGAGAATTGATTTTGGATATAGCTTGCGGCGATAATAAATACAGGAGAAATCTCTAGACTCGAGGAGCTGACACATTGAGATGGGTTCTCCATGGAACCGCTGCCACGCCCTCTTGGCATGCAATAACGTGGTGAAGCTCCCCGCCCCGCCTGATGCCTGTTGTTCCGCGGCGGGTGACGTCGTTTTCCAGTTTTAGTATCCTCAATGGCTCTCAATCCCCTTTTTAAGGCAACATCCATCAAAATCCAAAATTAGAGCGACGAAGTCGCTTGGGGCTAGTGTGCGCTTCTATATTGAAGTCTTGCATCATCTGTAAATCCGTATCTAACATTAACAATTTTGTTATAATACCCCATCTAGGAAATAATATAAATCCAGTGTCTGTTGTATACCGTCACAAGCTCGGATTGGAAGGGTAAAAAATTGAACTAAATTATAATACTAAATGACGGTTTTGAAATCTATGTTTTGCTATTAGTCGGGTCAAATCACTTCATTTCGTAACATTAAGCACAGCGCCCGTGTTTTCACAGTAACTTTATGGATTGGATTGCACGTTGGCTTTTACATGAGTTGCTACTTGCTAGTCCCCACACTGCTGGTTGTGATGAAGTCAAAATCTTTATGAGATTAAAATATTTTAAAAATTTTTAAAATGATTTAGGACAATCAAGAAGATACTAGAGTCTTCTGAAATATGTTGGTATAGCCTCAAAAGACTTAAATATTTTTAGAATAGTGTAGAGAGCACCTGAGGTATATAGATTATTTTAGAGATATCCTTCTCTTGTACATTCTATAATTCTCCTTGTAAATATCAAGATATTTCTTGTAGATGTTTTTAAAGATAGAATGTACACTATTGGATTAAATAAATCCCAACCATCCATTGAGGAGGTGGGAATTTTCTAGAGAAAGAGAGAAGCCTATAAATACCCCCTCACCCCTCATTTGTAACCACTCAAGCAAAGTAATAAAGCTCTCAAGTTCATTCATTCAAGCTATCTACTCTCTACTTGTGCTAGTCCTCTTAAGTCTCTTTGCCTACTTTGAGGGTTTGGCTAACTTAGTCATGATCAAGAGGTTGATCAAAGCTAAGGCCGGCACAGTTTAAGGAAAGGAAAAGTTCCAAGGCCATGACATGGTGCTACCAATGCCAATACTCGAGTTTGGTATTTCACAGGCTATCGGTAACCGTTTTTCAATTCAAAGAATATATTTTTTTAATATAATATCATCAGGAAAGCATTAACCTTGCTTGAAATTATTTTTATTTTATTATCCTAAAAGTTAATATTTTATAAAATATATTTTGAAAAAAAATAATAAAAATAGGTATTTTTTTCTTTATTTTTCAAAACAACAATTCTAAAACCCCTAAAAATTGTTTCTATTTTTATATTCTTTAAATAATATTTTATTTTTTATTCTTTGAAACATTTTTTGAAAACATGTCCTTAAACAAATTTTTTTATTTTTCTATTGTGAAAAATAAAAAAATATTTTTAAAACATGTTGTCAAGTAGGTCTTTAATCACTTTAGTTTTGCTTGACTATTTTTTTCATGGTGCATCTTTTTAATTTTTTTAATGCCCATATAATACATCATTCAATTAAAATTTACATTTTTCTCAATTAAAATGCACTATATAATTATACGTTTGATTGCTGAAAATTTTCTCAAGTTTTTAGAGTTAATAATTTGGGCTAATTCAAATAAACTTGTAAAATTTAGGAAGAATTACTTTAAAATCTTATACAAAAAAATTAATTATTATAAAATCTATTAATAACTAAACTAAGACCATTTCGTCAATGGCCTTAGTTTACTAATTAATTACTTACTCCCTCGTTTAAAAAGTATAAAGTATTTTCTAAGGAGTTAGATGTTTAAAAATATAAGGCATTTTTAATTTTTTGAGATGTAATTATTGCTTTTTTTCAAAAGTGCCGCTCTTAATAAATGACTTTATATTTATCGTAGAGTATTTAAGGTAAATATGAAAAGATAAAAAGATAAGATTAGTTTAAAAGTAGGTAACTACTTTATTAGAAAAAGAGATTTAATCAAAAATACTTTATATTTTTAAACGGAAGGAATATATAATTCTCCCAAAAAATTGGGGCTATGTTTAGAAAAATTATGTATTTTTGTATGTTCGAACCCATTTAGGCTGGTTCCAACATATTGAAAAAATTCAAGCCAAGTCTAACCATGTTCAGGCTTGCTTGAATACCCAAATAAAAAGGTACATTTTTAAAAAAATATAAAATATTATAAATCTTAATTAATTTCTAAATTTTTAGGTTATTCTATACTAAAATACTATAAATTTGAATATATTATTATAGATATTTTGTTAAAAAATAAAAAATATTTATATTGTCATTTTCTTATTATTTTCAATCTTTAAATATCCCAAAATAATACTTGAAATGCATTTTGATATTGATTTTAAAATTTTAAGAGCCACATTTTTTTAAAAAAAAAGTTGAGTCTCTTACATGTTTTAAGTATTCCAAAAAAAATATTTTATATTTTTTATAGACTAAAAATAATTAATTTTAATGTAAAAACTAAAAAATAAATTAAAATTAACAAATGATAAAATTGATAATTTGAACTAGCATGAATAAATCAGAAGATGTTTGGGCCAAATTTAATAAATAAAACTGATCCTAATATACTTGATTTGTCTGAATTATTGACTTTACAAGTTTTTATTTAGTTTTTGAAACTAAGTTTGGTTTAGTATTAAAAAAGGAGAAGCAAACAATATTTTCTTGAAATGTCCAATGCTCCCTGCCTAATTTATCTAAACATAAATACCAAACAAAATTAAATTTAATTAATATTTAAAATTCATTCCCTCTCTATCACAATATAAATCATTATAATTAATTTATGTTTCTAAAAAAATTATTAGTTAGAATTTTAATTTTTTTAAAAAAATTTTATATTTTCAATCATGCTCTTAAATATAATAAATATAATATTTAATTTATTTAAAACATTTACATTAATTGCTCAATAAAATAAAAGTATAATACATATATATATATATATATATATATATCATCTACTTAACGTCTTGTATTTTTGACCAAACAAAATTTTTAAAAAATAATTTATATTGTGGTGATTGGAGCATTTATTCTTTTTAGTATTGTCCCCAATTAAGTGCCATCATTTTTTTCATCTTCAATTAAATGCACCTTTTTTAAACGAGAGTGACATGTATATTAATCATTTACTATAAGGGGGATTTTAAGAAAAATATTTCAATTACACTACTTCAATTAATGATTAGGGCCGCCACAATCCTTAAAGTTGGGTCTTATAATTGAGGACAGACAGTGTAATATGCATGCGATCTATAGAAATTTTAATATCTATATCTATAAGATACAAAAAAAAAAAAAAGTTGAATTTTTTGTATCACTCATAAAACAAGCAGGATTGATCAAACTGGAACTCGAGTGAAATTAGACAAATTGTTTTGTCTTTGGAAAAAAAAAAAATTGAAGACATTTTTCAATGTGTGGCATAAATTCGGGAAAATATACATTATTTTTTTCAAAACGATCGGGTAAAGAGGCTGGAAATCAGAATGAACGATGGGAAAGAGCGTGCGAGAGATAAAAGAAAGGTGGGGAAGAAAGTGGACGTCCATGTGAAATGAATGGAAAGGAATAATGTTAAAAAGAAAAAGAATAGAAGGAATGGAAGTGGTGAAGAAGGCGGCAGCAGCAACGTCGGTAATGTACCAGAAACAGCAAAAAGGAAGGACGGCGTAAACTGTGAAGCGTGAAGTGGAGGGCGCAGCAGCTGCCGCGTTGAGCGTTTCTGTCCGCCAATGCCATATTCCAAAAGCACACTCATTTAACCATTAATCCATCCATCCGGTCAACCCAACCCTGAAACGAAACTACACCCGTCCTGAAATATACGCTTCATCTACTTCCTCTCGCCCATGCCGAGGGTTGGAGCTCTGCAAGTTGCTGGCCCGAGGCCCCAACCCAATCCCACACCATACAATTCAACATTCCCACTCGTTTCATTCTTCGCAAACTGGCACGGGCTCTAATTAACAAGATCTTCAACATTATTTTCCAAGAATGATTACAATGACTATGCAACAACAAAAACTCGGCATGGTTGACTCCATAATTTAGATTTCCCTTCCCTTTGAATCTATAAATCTATGCTCGGTCGCTTCACTCGTCTACCATCACTGCCAGCAAGCAATGTAAAGTAGCGCGCCTCTTGACCCCAGATATGCAAAATCGAATCAACTCGCCGGACTGACTTCATAAAATTAAAATTTTATGCTTGATAGTTCTATGCTATATACAGAATGAATCTCTTTTCCCCTCAAAATGCAGGCCCAAATTAATGATTTTCTTCCCAAAATTGCTATTTCCGAATTCAATCTTCCAAAACCCAAGTTCTACTGCGCCTCCTCGAGTTTCTCCCGAATAATGAGATCGAATGGCTCCGACTCATGCTCGGAGGCTCGCGCTCGGAACCAGGAGATGAAGATGGACTTGACCTTGACCGACGCCCCCCGAAGATTGACAAGAAATTGCGAACAATTCTTCCAAAGCCGCGACTTTCTCTGACTCTGGTGCTTCTCGCTGTTCGGGAAACTGTTCTCGGGGCTCCATTTGTATTCAGTGCACCGTCCATTTCCGTGTACACGACAGGGAAATGACTCTCGCCGGCTCTCCGACTGCCGGAAAACCTTCCAACCGCGAAGCCCCCACCAGGCAGCCGCCAAATCGTCAATCCTACTGTTTCGTCATCGATTTGACCCGACACTCTACTGTCTAACGTGTTTCGATCCGACGGCAGCTCGTGGCGGCACACAGGGCATGAATTGCGCATTGAAAGCCACGGAAGGATGCAATCTGAATGGTATATATGCTTGCAGGGCATTTCACGCGCCTCCGTACCGAGTTCGAACGCTTCCTTGCACACGGCACAGTGCGCATCGGAACCCACATGGGTCTCCTCAATAACAATCGCAGGCATCGACTCTATGGCTGCTTTGGAAGCGGGCGGGTTCTCTGGACGCCCGAACCCATTCAGTTCGATCTGGGAAAACTGCTCCAGAAGCCGTTCAAACCCTGACCCTAACAGGAACTCAGACATGGCCGGCGGCAACGGTCGGAGGCCGGAGCCATCTCCGTCATCGTAGTACAACTCGAAGCTGCTCTCTTCCTGGTCACTACCGACACCGTTGTGGCCAGCGGTTCCGTCGACGGGTCCACGGAGGACAATTACAGGGTTAAAGGGAGATCTGTTGCCGGCGTTGCGTCGCCTTCGACGGAACCCTTGTCTGCTGAAATCGTAGGAAGTAGGAGCTGAATCGGGGAAGGTAGAAGGAGGAAAGGGGCTGAGGTGATGATGATCGGAGGAAGGGTGGTTGTGGATCTCTTCAACGAAGCCGCTTTGGCAGTGAGGGCAAGCGACATCGTCCCGATCCAAGAGGCGAACAAAGCGGGTGCAGCTGTAGCACCAGTAGGAGGTCGGAGGGGAAGCTGCATCGGAGTTCATCATCGATGATGATGGTAAAGATCCAGAGCTGACTGGGGAGGTTGGGGGGTAGACGAAGAGAGAGAATGATGAATCTGCTAAGAGCAGCCGCTGGGGAGAGCGTGGCTTTAAGGGACAGAGGAACGTGAAAGGCGAATTGAACTATAGAAGAAAGGAACGTTTGCGTATGGCCCACGCGTTTATAATGGAAAGTGCCTGGAAATTCCTGGCCATCGGAAATTAGATTAGTGTAATGGGCTGGGGGTGACGGCATTGGTGAGTTTGGCTCCTCGGATTAAGTGATTAGATAATTAATTGCACAATTAAAAGATCAGATTAAGACTTAAGAACCTGTTCTTCTCCTTCATTCCGTATGGGTTATTTTATGATAATGAATGATAATTTAGACTTAAATAAAAAAGCTGACCTTTTTAAATTATTTATTATTTTTGTATATAAAAAAATAAAACATTAATTGAAAGAAATGAAAAATCTAAACCTCCCTCCCTCATCCATCAACTTCAACTCCTCAAGCAAAGTTGAGAGTTGGCCACAGTCGCTTCCTTCTTTGCCTTGCCCTTACCCTCTCCTTTACCTTTATGAGTATGGATGTTTTTTCTAAGACAAGTTTGAATTAGAGAGTTATCTTGATGAACCAACACTTAAACCTCGTAATTGAAAATATTTAGCTAACTATACTACCATCATTTATTTTTTATTGATGTTAATTTTAATGTCATTACTTGATATTTGATTTAAATATTTAAATTTTATATATTTATTGTGGTGTAAATTGACTTGAATTTACTTTCTTAAATTTAATTTTATATGTAATAACTTTTTTTAAAATTATAAATATATTTTTAAAATTTTAAATTGAAAAAAATATGTCTGAAACTTAAAAGGTTGACTCTTCAACCTTAAAAGTTAAGAATTGAGCCTTTTAAAATAAATCCCTGGAATACATTGATGTTTAACATGACCAGCTCCTTTAAACTCTAGCCAGTCTTTTAAAATCAGGCTAACACTAATTCACAGTTCTAGGCGTAATTCTTAATTCAGGGAGACCATGACTGAAAAGTTATTAGTGAAATTAAAAGGGACAAGAAGAAGCGGAGAGAAGAAGAATAGGAAAGAGGATATTGACCGCGTCCGCGTGGATTCAATGGAGAGACGCCGAGTTTGAAATTCAAATAGTCCCCCGAGAGAGAAGATTCCTTAAACGAGGCATCAGGCCATCGCCCGCCAAAATATCTTCCTTTTCATTTTTTCCCTGATGACAGCATACAAATCATGCTAATGTTATAGCTGTCAAAAACAAGTTAAATTAATTAAATGGCTCGTGGTTGATGATAATATGAAAGGTTGAAATTAAGAATCAAGTAAATTGGGAATTTTTCCTTTTAGTGCTGTAATTTAAATAAACTAACTCATCTAATTCAATCCATTCTTGTGTTTTAGTCCGCAGCTTAAAAGTAAGAAATATATCAATGCTTTATGAAAAGATTGGCATTTAATTAATTTAGTTCCGCAATTAATATGATTCAAAACTTAAAATTAGCAAAGATAAAATAAAAGTCTAGTCAACAAATTAACAAAATAATACGAGTAGTAATTAATGAATTTTTGGTGACAGGACGTGCACACAGATGCGGGAGGGATGATTTTCTCCACGCAGCCAGTTGTTCCCTTGTGCTTGTGCTGTGCGTGGGCGCCACCCTCATCACCTTGCCCTTTATTAATTATTTAAATCGACGTAGCCTTGTTTACAATTTTAATTTTTTTTGAAATATTTTAAAATTAAACTATTCTTTAACAATTACTTCTTTATTTTTTTATAAATTATTTCTATTAACTTCGTCAATATTAATAAAAAATATAAAAAATAAAAGTGTGTGAAATTATAAATATATAATAAATTTAAAAAATAATATTATATTATTTCTTTATATGAAGAATGATTTTAAAAATATTTTTTTAAATATTACTTAAAAAGTCATACTATAATTTATAAATGAGACTGAATAAATTTTTTAAAATGTGTTTTATAAATAAGATTGAATGAGTATATTTCTATGCTTTATGTTTGAAAATGAAATGCTTTGGCGACAATTTTTTTTTTGTATTTAAATAAAAATGGAAATTTTTATAATTCTTGTACATTATTCTTCTAAAATTCCTTCTAGGTCCCAGCACCCAATAACTTTTCTTTATCTCGCTGCTTTTTTTCATTTTAACTCGGACATCGGGGTAATATTCTATCCCCGCTGATTCCATTTACGACCATCCTGCTCCCTCCCTCCCTCTCTCTCCCCCCCCCCCCCCCCCCGTAAGTATAAAAGTATCCGTGAGAAAAATTAAAGGCAGAAACACAATTAGAGAGCATGGGGAGGGGAAACAGAGACGCTTGATTTCTACAAAATCACAATTTTTTGGCAAGGAGCAGGACAATTGGAACTTAATAGGAGAATGTACACGTTTTGATGATTTCAAACCAGTGTTGTTCGAGATCATCATCCTCTGCCATTAGAATAATGCAATTTGGCGTCAAATTTAAATTAAAATATTGCTGAATAAATAACAAACAAACAAACGTAACAAAGAATGTAGCATGACTATGATGCCCAATCTACTGAAGCCATAGTTTAGGCGTCCACAGAACAAACTCTTCCTTCCCTCGCCTGACTTTCTGTTCAAGTGAGTTACGGCGATACGTGTGTGCACTTGCAAAATACTAAATAAACGTATTTATGCGCCTGCATTATTGTCAAACCAGCGGCTGCCAAAAGTCAATAAAAATTACTTTTTTCTTCTTAACAAAAAAAGTTTGGTATCATGCGTTCACACTATTTGTTCATGTCAAAACACAAATACAGTCTTTGCACCTCAAACAAAAATACAGCCTGAAATCCAAAATTAAAACACGTCCTTTCTATGCTTGACATGCAAAGACAAAAACCAGCAGAGAGGAAAATATGGTCCTCTATTATCTCTGAGATTTGTGCATTGTCTCTTGAGATGCTGAGTAAGAATTCGGACAGTTGAGCTTCTGAAATCAGATTTGAGATTGTTGACTTCCCTCCTCATCATCGCAATCTCCAAATTTCTTGCATTAGAAATCAGGGCCCATTATTGTTTGCCGTTCCACAAGATTATTAAAGACTTTGGCTCCTCCGTCACCAAGCTTTCCTTCTTCTCTGTTACAACAATTCATTAAAAGCGATAGAAACAGGTGTATCTGGTATCAGAAATTGCTCTGCAGAGCTACATTTAATTGTTGAATCGATGAATACATAAATCTGTTTTCTTTTTCTCGAATGGTCTTTTAATGGATTTTGTGGCGTGATCCCGCTGCTCATTTAGAAATTGAATGCATCTGATGCCTTCAGCAGGAAAAATTAAATGACCGTGCCAACTTTAATTTTGTAAAGATCATAAAATGCTGAGTCATACAAAATGCTGCCATGTGGCTGGGGAGAGCCGTTCTTGTTTAGACCAGGACAGCGATTTTCTTTATCATCTGTTTAATGATTTTTTTTTATTTTCCTTTTCTTTCCTTTTCTTTTTTCTTTTTAAATCCTTTGGGAAGTACCATTTCTCTTTTTTATAACAGAGAAGTACCTTCTCTTATTGTTCAAAGTTTATGTTTTACTTTATCCCATGAAACCGTTACTCTGCTGAGTTTCTTTAACTGCATTATGTCATAGTTACTTCTCATTATAAACAAGAAAGCGATGATAAGAGTTAAGAGGAGTGATTGTGGAAAACTGCGCAGGTAATTCGGTGCATTGTTGGGCATTTTACTGAAAATCAAATATAAGGCGACCTACCAAAGATGCAGTGCTTTTTTATATGCCAAGTATTTTATTTATTTTGGACAAATCTGAGATGCGACTGTAAGCGCACAATTCGTTTCTTTTTTCATATTCTTTATAATAAAATTTATATCCCGCTTTATCGAGAAAAGAATTATAAAATTTACTTCAACCGAACAGTAGAAGTTAAAAATGAATTTACCATGGGAATTTGGCTGGAATACAATTTGTGCCCCGACCTCAATAAAGGACTTTCATCACTCACAATCATCGCGAACGAATCTCCTTGCGATGTAACGTTAAGACAAGCAATCGGGCAATGAAGGTAAAACGGAATGCTAAGGAAAATAGAGTTATAATTCATCGGAAGATTTTGAGAGGCGATGACACGAGTTACTCATCGTTGTCGTCGATGATCTTTTGGCCAAATCCTTTAGGGCCAGCCCTGGCTCTGATCTTCTTCTTCTTCTTCTGCTTGCCACTATTAGCCGCCTCTTGCTTCTCAAACTTGTCCTTCTCCCTCTTCTGCAGGAAATCCGTGACTCCTAAATAGATCACCTGCACAAAAAAGGCCATCCAGAATCAGAAGGAGGCGATGGAAAGGAAAGACGAGAATGAAGTCAGTACCCCGAGAGTGAGAATGGAGAGGCCGAAGAAGGCGACGAAGAGAAGAGCGGAGATGACGTAGGAGACGCCATCGTCAGAGTCAGAGGCGGAGACAATTTCCTGAGCAGCTTGAACGACGGTAGATTCGTAAGGAGCGGCACGAATTCGGCGGAGTTTGGAGTTGGGATGACAAACGGGAAGATGAAAAGGGTGGTTGAGAAAGATGGGAGCGCAGGAGGGGAGAGCGGGGAGAGTTGCAGAGAGAGGGAAGGAAGGGAGAGAGGTGGGAATTGGGGGAGAGAAGGATGCGAATGTGGGAACCATGGCTCTCATCAGCATCTGCTCCTCCCAAGTGGCAACCCTTTCCCTATGGGACACCTTCTGTGGGCTTTCTCTTCCATTATGGATTGGGCCTTCTATGCTCCATTCTCGAAACCCACAACCTCCCCAGTCCGTCCCTTCTCATACAAAACTCGCTCTATACTTTATCCAAAAAAAAAAAAAAACTCGCTCTATTCCCTCTACTTGCTTCTCTTTTTCACATTTTATAAACAATCTTAGCTATTAATTTAGTATCACTGCAAGAATAGACGCATTTTCTTGCATATTTTATGACATTTAAAAATTATATGTATTGATTGTAAATTCTAAAGAATGCTATTTTTTACTAATAAATTTTATTACGAGAATTGTTATAAAATCAATAAACACTATATATAATATGGCTTATTCTTTAATTCTTGCGCCCTGCACAGAATCAATAATCAATAATATGATAAATGTTTAAAAAATGCTCAAAAACTATATTTTATCATGTATTATTGAAAATGCAATACTTGCTAGCATATTATGATTGAGAAGGCATGATAAAATTACGCACAGTTTTTTTTTTAAGAAAAAATATAATATTATTGAGTATGACAACATATTGAAGTGACATCATAAACTGAATGTTACCTAGGAGAAAATTAGAGTCGAGAATAAGGGTCAGACTTGACGGGCCGCCCATTTAAGCCTGTTTTAATAAGGGTTCGAGTTTAAAAATTTAGTATTTTTTGAAGGTAACCGGGCTTCGAAGCCCGACCCTTTTAAGCCCTCAAAAAATAAGCTCGAGCCTGGGTGGCCCGTGAAACCCGTTTTACTATTTACAAATTATTATTTTCGTCTCTTTTCAGATAATGTGTAAACATTGATTTGTACCCGCAATTGGTTGCATTGTTTTGTGCCAATTCATGGTAATTATTATATTTTATCTTGTGATATATGTATAAATATATATTTGATAATAAAATAATTTAATTAATAATTATTGTAGGTGATGATGAAGAAGCTGCAAAAATAATTTATATTAAGCCTTCGCCTCCATCTTTCACAAGTGGACCTACATTTGAGGGTTTTAATATTTTATTTATGGATGATAATGAGGGAGATCTTGATTAGGATTGATGATAATGTTTGCCTTCATCTTATTTAAATTTTTAAATTTTTTTATTCATTTTTTAAATCATGTGAGACTTTGGTTTGATATATGTTAAATTTTAAAATATTTTAAATAAATTTTAATGTTAAATTTTATTTTATTTTATTCTTATTTGGGCTTACAGGCCCAACTCTGAGCCCTTTGAATGAGAGCCGGGCTTCAATTTTAAAATAAAATTGGAATAACCGAATTTTAAGACCCAGGCTAAAGGCCAGGCTCATAAGGGCTGAGCCCATATGAGTTAGGCCTGCTCATTTACCAATTCTAGAGAAAACCATTATACATACATACATACATATATACATACATATATATATATATATATATATAAAAATAATGGAAGCCATTCCCTTATGTCGCTTGCCCGGCCCCTGCATCTGGGGTTCGGTGAGCGGGGGGCTCCTTCGTTTCGAGCCTCAAAGTCGGCGTGATCACACAATTCACACGCCTTTGATGCTTAAACTGTGTTTCCCCTGTATGCCTATATTTTAAAAGGAATATAATATGATATTAATATATTTTTATTCTATATATATATATATATATTAGGAAAATTGAAACGAAATCAGGATAAAGAATAAACCATTGAAGAGAAAATCAAAGGACTCGAAACCAAAAGAAAGAGAAGGCAGCCGATGGAGCCGAATGCGGGCTGGCTCATTTGATGTGGGGCGACACGGGACGAGTTGATTGGAGGGTTCAGTTGGCACGGACGCGAATCAGACATGTGGAGAGACCCAGGAACAAATAAACAAATGAAGAGGACTGAAATAGATATTTAGAGGATCTAAAATATCTGGCCAGGCCCTCCACCTCGGCAACCATTAACATTAGGATATTTCACCTTTTCTCGGCTTCTCCCTTTCTGATCAAAAAAGTGTAAAAGTGCCAACCTTGTATTACAGTCTCCTCGCCGCCCCTCCCCTTCCTTTCCCGTTTCACAAATATCTCCGCTCCGCTCCATTTCTCTCCCTTCTGCTCCCTCCTACCGCCGCTCTCGATCCCATATCCCAAATATTTCCCTCTTCTCCGTATGATATGATTTCGTCCTCACCAATCCGTATTCCGTACACCCTCTCTTGATTCCCCCCCCCCCCGACTTCTCTTTCCATAAATGGGGGAGGAGGTCAAGATGACCGATTACGACTGCGCTGCCGCCGATGATGATGAGAGGGTCCTCGAATGGGAGCTGGGCCTCCCTGCTGCCGACGATCTCACTCCTCTCTCTCAGCCCCTGATCCCGCCGGAGCTCGCCTCCGCCTTCAGCATCTCGCCGGAGCCCAGCCGGACTCTCCTCGACGTTAATCGTGCCTCGCAGAATACTCTGTCGAATCTTCGCGGCGGCGGCTCTCAGGCCTTTTCCTCCAATAATTTCAAGCCGCTCAATGATGACGGGTGTCGGGACCCCATCGTCGTGGAGGCCGATGAAGAGGCCGATCGAGATGGGTCTGGGTCCGATTCTCGGAAACTCAGGAAGATCGACTGCACTGAAGAGGCTGATTCGGCTCTGCGGACTGAGAATTCGACGGACGATCCGTCTGCTCGGACCTTAAAGCGGCCTCGGCTCGTATGGACTCCTCAGTTACACAAGCGGTTCGTGGATGTGGTGGCTCACCTGGGAATCAAGAACGCGGTGCCAAAGACGATTATGCAATTGATGAACGTCGAAGGATTGACCCGAGAAAACGTCGCCAGCCATCTTCAGAAATATCGGCTTTACTTGAAGAGAATGCAGGGTTTATCCAACGAGGGCCCTTCATCGTCAGACCAGCTCTTCGCTTCCACTCCGGTGCCGCAAAGCTTACACGATTCTGGTGGGAGTGGGCACTCTCATGGAAACGGGCATCTTCCGGTCCCCATTCCGATGCTATATCCACCGCCAATGATGCCCATGCCGGTTCTTGGAATGCCCCATGGTCAGGGTCATCCGCATGCTCACATGGGAATGCCAGTGGCCAATCATGGGTTCGAATCACATCCGTATAATATGTTGCAGCGAAGGGATTGGTCTGGCAATAAATTTGCTTCGGTTGTATCGAATCCTCACGTTACTACTAATGATAAATGAGCTTTCATTCAGAAATTTGTCAACAACTGGGAAACGGTGAGCAGTGTTGAATTGTCTTCATCATTTCTCATTAATCTTGTCCATCTATCCGACCTTGTGTCCTTGTGGTATGATACGGTATAAATGGAACTGATCAGGAATTTCATAACTACTGTCTGACTTGGAATAATAATGGAGTTGGTAACATTCAATCTAAATCTGATCATATGTTCAGCTTATCTCTCCTCAAGTGGCATATTAGTTTAACAGAATTTACATGTGATTAATTGAGGTGGCTTGTAAGAAATATGGCTTCCACAACAAATATTGAGAACAGTGAATGACGTAGAGATAAAGGTCATCATTGGTCATATGGCCTAAAGTGATGCTCCTTTCAGGTGCACTACGGTTACAACAACTCAAGTCTCATCTTAAACTGAACTGATGACTATGCGAGACTCTGTATATATGGAAGCAGGGCGTGTAATAAATATACCCTGTTTCTCATTTGTACATCGACATAGCCAGCTTATAATTATAGAGTAGGATTAGGATGTGCAATGAGCAGGTATTTATTGTTGATTACAATCTGGTGAGGGAGTGCACGATTAAGTGACAAACTCAAAGGAAATTATTAGCGACCTCGTGTCTTTTTTCACCGATTTTTTTCCTACTTAAATCAATTAATTGACCTCTCTGAAATGATGAATGATGAACTAATTAGATGATATCAGTTCCATGACTTCCTTTCTGTGATTGACTATTCTTATGATGAACGATGGGATCATTTGCTGTCCGATGTATAGAACATATGGCTCTATGGAGCTCCATCCATGTGCCACATTTATTTATTTTTTGTTACGGATAAGGGTATGGATATCTTCATCTGAATTTACGCCAACACTTCCCTGATTTTGCATGTTATCTGTGTTTCCAGTGAATAAATTGATTAAGCAGTCAGAGTTCCGGATTTTATGTCCACAGAAAAAATGATGCATCTTCTGCTTCTTACTATTTTGTAGATTCAAGAGTTTAACCAATGGTCATCACTTGGAAGCATGGGATGCAACTCTATTGGTGGCCCTGGATTTCATTTACATGCACTATTAAAGAAGTAATTGCAGGCTCTTGAGCCAAATGGAGTCTGGGTTATTATGTACTGTTTCGGCAAATTCACGAAACTTTTCTTGACAAACTTATCACATAATTGTAGGAGGAGATATCTGGCATGGTGCTTCTGGTCTGCCTAAATTATTGCAGCTTCGGGAGTACATTCTTAAATCTTAACTGGTTCTCCGATTCATTTGCGCTACTATATTTTGTGTTTCCTGATTTTGTTAACTCTCTTTTACAGCACCAATGCAAAATTGAATAAGAGAGGGACTGAGCAAAAGTTAGCAACCTTAACTTGTAGCTTCTCGTTATTATTCCATTCGAAATATGTGTTCCATTTGCTGTTGGGATAATTCAGTCCGGTGATATCATTAAATCTTATGTTCGCAGTGCACTTTGTTGTCTGTGGGTTTGTATATGAGATGTGTTCGTGGATTTGAACAAATACCAAGTGTGTTAGAAACGTGAAGTCTCACTCGAGTTCTCTTATTTTAATTCACTTGAATATGAAGATGCAAAGATAATGATGTAAACAATGATGCAAACGTGATAATTAAATTAAAGTTTCAATGATTACAACTACAAAATTGAAATAACTAAGTGCAGACTGTAGAGTGAATTTAAATTGAAAATTGGCCAATGAGTTTGTTGTGTGTGTGTGGATTGCTTTTCTTCCTTGATTTTTGTCAGCTAGACCCTTTTTTATACTTGTGCATTTGAGACCATTGTGCCCAATAAATCAAGAGGTCACGTGTGAAATATCTGCTATTATGAGGCACGGTCTTACAAGATTTGGGCATATCAAATAGTGGTCTCATATTTTCTTAATTGCCTTTAATGCTCAATCACTCACTCTGAGTTTTAAAGGTCACGCCACTTGCTAAAGCAAGTGCTCAACATGGAACCTCATTTAAAAGTAGACCGGGCATTATCTTAATTGATAAATTATTATCTTAACTGCCTTTAATGCTCAATCACTTTGAGTCTTAAACATTTCTTATTTATACTTATTTTATTATTTTGGGCTTTAAACAATTGATATTTTATTTTAGGTCAAAACAAGAGAGATGATCCCCCTACCGATAACTGCAAACTGTCATGTATCCTAAAGAGTTATATTCATCAACCTTCTCAAATTCTGATGTATTAGTCTTAACATTAGCCGTGATGATATGAAGTAGCAGAAAGATTCAAATTCAAAGCAAGAGGGACGGAAGAGAAAGAAAAGCGCTCAAGGGCAGTGTTCTATTTTATTTTATTTTTTAAAAAATGACGGAGGGTTTGGGGATAAGGTGCAAGCAAATCGCAGGTATTATTATAACAAGGGGATTAGGTTTTCGGGTTAAAATATGGGGGGAAACTTCTAGGTCCAGCAATAAATTATTGAATATAGTGACTGGACCACAAATGCCTAAAAAAATGGTGAAAAACGAAGAAATCCTTATATTATAATAATGATATATTAGTGATAAAAGAAGATTGGCCCCTCAGTGATAGTTTATTAAAAGTAGACCATCGGTAGCTTTGTCTTCATGGAAATATATGCAGCCAAACAACCAATCCTTAGAGGATGCTGATTAATTAATAGCACGGGGTCATTTAAAATATGCAAGTAGGAAATAAGGCATCAGATGAGATGTGTAAAATATATATTTAATTTGGATAAGACGTGAACAGTTTAAATTGCAAGAAAAAAATCAGGTTGCCCATATACTGTGCATAGTGTGGTGGGATCTATGAAATCTCCGGGCACTAGAATAAGATATGGATGTAGAATCACAATAACTGATGTATAATCGGAGATGATACAAAAGATAAACGGAGAGAAATCAAGTCAGTGACTGTATACAGGCGAGCGGCAGTCACAAGACAGAGGCCAGCCAGTGAGTACATTTGTGGGTTCTACAGCATCCACCACCGTTTTGGTGTCGGCTTCTACTTGACGCAGCTAAATCCCCAGTTCCCAACACATTCCAACATTGTGGCCGATTCATTGCTCATATTTAATTTAAACACCTTATCTCCAATGTACACTCTCTCTATCATGAGACGATCTGATCCGACGGATCCACTCCTGACCTGCGGTGGATTTACTTGTAAAGGCTTGTGGCAATCTCTTTCTGTTGAATACCAACACATCCATGCCTAAGGGTATAACAGAAATTCAGCCAATTCCACAGACAGTCACAGAATGTAATCTGGATTCTGTCCCGGCCACTGACCAAATATTCTCACCTCATCTTTTACTTTTAAAATTACCCCAAAAAAAAAATCAAATCAAATCAAATCAAATCAATGTTGATCCTCTTATAATTTTGTTCTTCACATACACAGTTTTAAAAAATTGAAATCCATAATCAATTAACATGCATTACTGATCAATTTAATAAATGACAAAAAAAAATATATTATCTTCAAGTCCACTACCCAATTACATTTCAAGTTTATTTTGCACAGATAGTAACCAAATCAAAAAGAAGAAGAAAAGACTTTTTTCGTTATAAAAGAAAAAGAAAAGACGTTTACTATGGTGAATATCAGGACATAAAAAATTGGAAGCGGGAGGGGAGGGGAGACCAGGTCAAATTACTATTTCATGAAACCCGTAATCGTGAGGTTCAGCAGGAAGGAAACAAAATGGGGAGCCAAGACGGTTCTCCCACCCACCTGTTGATCTGTTCATCACTCAACCCTGCAATAACTCCGGATCCGCTTGCTTCATCACCTTCCATGTTAACAATTTTATTACATATCACCAATGGTTCTCACTTGTGATTCTCATTGCAAAGATGGCTCAACTCCACAGATCATATGCTCCTGCTGATGCTTCCAAATCTCCTGCTCCTACCGTCGAGCAACTTCTCCGAGGTAATATTCTATTGTATCATGTACTACATACGCACGCATTTCATCTTATTCTCCGCATCACTTGTGACGGCTTCATGTGATGTTACATAGGAGGAGAACCCTCCAGGGGGTCGCCGTCCTCCTCATCCTCCGACAGGTCCAAGCACTGGGACCCCCAGGAAGATCACAGCCACCATCAGAAGAAATCAGTTCTCACTAAAGTCAAAGAGAAGGCCAAGAAATTGCGCCACAGTCTCAGCAAGAAGAAGCACGACGATAACGCCATTCCCTCGCTAGTAGAAGATGAGGATGCTGAAGATACGGAATACCTCGGAGCTCCCAGTAATGTCATATTTCACAGAGATTCTTTCTTTTACTTTCTAACATATATACTATGCCTTTCAACGCGACATTTGACAAACACTGCTTTCTAATTGACCGTCTTCGGCAATCTTACGCGCATTTCCTAGCCCTTTCAGTGTATGAATCGGAGCTGGCCCCTGAACAATACAAGGAAAAAGCGATGCAGCATCCAAGGGCAAATGCAATCACCGAGAAGCACGTAATGCTGGGTTCCGTCAAATCTGGAGCTGAAGGAGAGAGAGAGACGCCTCTCAGTCCTTCCAAGTCCAAGAGAATACCAGCCCAAACTCCCGGTCCGAGCAAGGCTAAACCTGTTTACACAGCAACCCATTCCTTCCCCTCCAAGTTTCTGGGCCTTTCAGTTGAACCCCCGGAGCGAGAAACTTCATCGGCCCCGACAACTTCTCGGAAAGTTTCTTCGGCTATGTCTTCTCCGAAAACTCCCAGAGACAAGACCGCCGCCTCTAAAGCTTTTTTCGACGCCTCAGTGCTTCCACATGCTTCATCTGCTCCCGCGACTCCACAAGCTTCTGCGCGTAACGGCTACAGTGACCAAATATGGGATAAGGGTGTTTCGGTGAAAGAGTATTTGATGAACAAGTTGGAACCGGGGGAAGATGACAGAGCTCTGTCTCAGGTGATATCTGAAGCAATGAGTCCTAAAAGAAACCCTGAAGATAAAGGTGTGATGGAGAAGGTCAGAGATGCCGTCACTTCTTTGCTCCGAAATGATGAACCCTCACAACATGCAGTCCAAACTCCTGTCACGCAAACTTCAGCTGAAATCCCAGTCTCTACCAATGCTTATGAAGGTATCGGACCTGTTCCTGTGACTCTCCACTCTTCTTTAATTCCTACCTTAAAAGTCCTTCGACATGTATACAATGTTTTCTTACAATATCCATGATATTTTATTTTATCGCACCATTGCAGTTGGTCAGCAGGCATGCCCGGGCAGAATTCTTCAGGCCAATTGAAGGTTCCCATAAGATTTCTTTTCTGCATTTGTGTGTATCCATTCAGTATTTTTTATTGGCATTTTTGAATATGCATCTAATACTTAGATCCTAAATATCATTTATCAAGTTTCTATTTTTACATACAGTGGATAGTGTGGAATATTATCTGTGCATTTCACCACTATGGATTAAGTTAAACCTAAAACTAGACACCCTGGCAATGGGCCCAGTATACTAATAAACAGAAATAACACCGCATCAATTAGTTGCCAAAACTCGATTATTATTCATCACTGCTATCAGAATAAATCTATACAGTGTTTCTTGTACTATCTGTGAGGAGCCTATAAAGGATTAGTACGTCCCTTTTTGAAGGTAAAGCCCTTGATAAACATGGCAACTCCTGATTATCATAAATAATGAAACGAGTCAACGTCTTCGTGCAACTCGAGTATCTTCACATGCTACGCTGTCCAGAACGCAACGTGACACTCACCAAATGATTCTGCGTTGTGAATCATCCGGTGCTAGTTTAAGCCGTCACTTCAAGATTTTGGATTCTATATCTTCCAGGCTCAGACCTTTTGTCTCAGGGACAGAATACACAACGAACAGGAGTGATAATAAAGCTATAGCACCAAAAAGGAGAAAAAGGTTCTCTGCTCCGAGAATCTCCTACATAATTAACACAAGGCAATACGATATAATGATAAGCTAAATCCCAATGGTAGCCGGGACAATATTAAACATGATCAACAGATAAGTAAATAAGAATTACGAAATAAATACCAAAATAAAGAATTAAAAAACCTTTAATGGAGAGAATGCAAAGGTCACAATAGCATTCGAAGCAAAGTTGGCCAGAACTGCAAGACTAATCCCCCTTCCTCTTGTCCGAAGTGGGAAAATTTCTGAAACCATAAGCCAGCTTATTGGCCCAAATGATATCTGCACAACACGCATACAATTGTTAGTAATGAGAAGATTCTTTCTTCTATTTGCTCTGTTTTATACGAGGATAGCAGCAGGTCTAATGGCAAGGAGGCTACCTGGTAGCAACCAACGTAGAGAAGTAAAGCAGCTACAGCAACAACTGGGAATCCCCCCAGAAATCTGTAATATGCTGAAAGAAGAACCAACGAAAGGGCCTACAAAGCCAAGGAAAAGTTGAATAAAAATTGCACTGGACAAGTTTCTGCCAAAAATAATGCAAGAATTTTTTTTTTCTCTTTAATTCTGAGAATCTGTTATCTTAAATGTTAAAATAGGATGCATACAATGCCACTGACACCTCCAATCAGGAGAGGTCTTCTCCCCAGATCATCGACTTTCAAGACAGCAACCCAAGTCATCAGTAACTACAGGTGGTGATAAATAAGAAAAAATGATCAGTATCGCATAGCAAGCACTATTTCCAATTTTAAATGAAAACCAAAATGGTATACCTTGAATAAGCCAATAACAACTGAAACCTTTGTGGCATCAGATGCAGCCGAAAATCCAGCATTCTATATATTAATAACAGAAGATAATTCAAAGCGAACGAGATGGAAATTAACAAATTGAATTTCACACGACAAGGGAAATGAAGTTAGGGATAAAAGTACCTGAAGAATTGGACCTGCATAATATAGAACACTTGGTTGGCCTGTTATCTGTTTTAATAATCTAATCAGCCAAACCACAAAAAGATTTCTCCACTTTCCTTTAAATATCTCACGACTAAAATGGAGATGCTACATGCCATCAAAGAATAATGTAATATACTCATGTGCACTAAAGTTGAACTACCTGTTGGAATAAGACTAGACCCCCACCAATTATGAAGGCTTTAAGATTGGGCCCCTGAAACACCTCCAAGAAACTCCCCTCCTCTGATTTCTCTTCTTCATAGGCAGACTTCAATGAGACAAGGGTCTCCTCTACTTGCCTCTCAGAAACTTTATCACCTGGCAGCCGGCCCCTTAATCTGCTGAGGGAAACTATTGCTTTTTCCTTCAACTCTTGAAATGAACCTTTCCCTTGAACTGCCCTGAGAAGCAACCACCGTGGAGATGAAGGAAGAAGCCACATCCCAAGCCCCATGAGCACAGCAACTGGAGCACTTATTCCATACATGAACCGCCATCCCCCAACTGTGTTAATCTGAAAGCTTCCCACAAAATAACCCAGCTGCAGAGAAGTTCAGCCACCAAGTAAGTCAAGTCCATAGTGGATAAAATAAAGATAAGATAATCATGTGATACCAGAATCCCCAGGACAATGAAGAGTTCTTTTAACGATACTAGAGTTCCACGGATTTGTGATGGGCAAGTTTCAGCAATGTACAAAGGAGCCCCATGCATGGCCTGTAATGCAATCTATTTGTAAGATTATGAAGTTATCAGGTATATTACAGAAAATATGAACAGGGAAGGAGCTCACCAAACCTATGCCTAGGCCATAAAGCAGCCTTCCTAATAAGAGGACGCCAAGTTCTGGCGCATAGGCAGTGATTGAACCACCAAGAACATATGAAAAGGCTGCAGCCATGAGTTCTCGCTTCCTCCCTAATGGCAGCCACTTCAACAGGATGAATACGAATATATATATATATATATATATATTCAATTTCAGTATAAAATGAATGAGCAAAGAACTTACCAAGGAAATCAGCAACAGCGAATGCAAGAAGGGAGCCTAGAAGAGCTCCATACAGAGAACCACTAACCTATGGTAAATGTCAGAGGTAAGATTGTAATCAGTATGGAAAAGAATAGGTTTTTCAGGATCATACAAGAAGTTTTCAAACCATGACAATGAATTATACCACAAGCCCAAGCTGAATGGCAGAGAGGTTGAACCATGTTATCCCGCTAAGCTCAGGTGACTGCAAATTCAAGCAACAAGACAATAATAATAGATTACTTACTTTACACAAAAAGATACAACCAAATGAAACAAAAATACAGTCATTAAAAAATTCACCTGCAGTGAAATCGTAGCACCAGAGGTGGCTCCAATATCATACCCAAATAATAAGCCACCCAATGCAGGGAACAAAAAACTAAAATTTGGAAAGGAGGCACTAGTTAATTGAAATCAAAATGATAAGGAACTTATACGTTACAAAATTTGCCACGTTCGATCATTTTGAACTAGAATTGACATTTTTTTTATCTTTCAACTACAAAGGAAGCACAAAACTTAGGATTTGGGAGTGGGAAACTTAGGATTCTCACAGGATTAACGTTTTTTGACAGGAAAGTGCTGCTGTTGTTTAATAATAGAGGCATAATTTCGGACAAATTAGTGCGTTTTGCTTTATAAGCAAAGTTTTAGTAGTTCTAAAGTAGCAATGCACAAGGGAAATCAGTTTTTTCAGTGTCAGTGAAGTAGCTGTGGAAAAGGCTTCGCACTATTTGTCTGGGTTTAACACGAGAGTGACGTGAAGTTCCCCATCAAGTGTTACTTGACAACTTCAAAAGGCAAGTTAGAGCTACTCCCAGTTCAGTAAAGATTGGGCATGTGAGTAGACCTAATTCGCTCTTCACTATACAGACAATTTTTATTCCTTCCCCATCGCTCCTACCGAATGCAACCACCAAATGAAGCAAGAATCACAGAGACGTACGGGAAAATTACAGAAGACCAAGAAAATTCTTCTTGGGGTGTTGCATCAGATGCAAGCGACTGGGGTGCTTCCCCCGAAGAAAAGTCCATTTGAGCTCCAACCTACCCAGAAGACAAAAGTGCAAAATTATATTAAAAAAAAACATGAAACTTTGATAAGATTCTCGGCTTAGGGTTCTCACATAGAATCTGAGCCTTCGACGAGAGTAAGAAGGAGGAATCGGGTAATGGACGCAGCGGGGCGCGAAATGATCATTATATGACGAAGCCAGACGAGGATTAATGGAAGTGTAGGAAAGCGGAGCCTTCGATCCCTTTGTTGTCCGGTGATGGGGAGAGAGGTTGAGGAAGTTGAGGTGAGGGGTGAAGGCCGAGCAGGCCATGAGATCACCAAAGACAAGAATCAGTGACGGTGAGTGGAATTACTTGCTTGAGAGCTCTGGTTTTGTACTTTCTATTATCTCTTTGTCTGCACCGGATGAATATTTGTCGATATATTTCAATGATTTTTAAAATAAATTAATATATTTTTTTGACCTTATTTATAAAATAAAAAAATTAATTTTATCTATGAATTACGTAATTAAATTTTTATTATAAATTTTTTTACCTCTCATTAAATATTGGAGAGAGAAAATATATTATTAAAATATATATATTTAATAAAAATAAAATTTAAAATTTATTCAATTTCAAAATAGAGTTAATAAATTTTAAATTTTTTTTAATATTGATAAAACATGTTAAAAATAACTTATAAATAAAATTAGAGAAGTATTTATAAATATGTAATAAATAAAAAATTTTGTTGGATTTCACATTTACCCTTTCCATCATAATGTAAAATATTTTAAAAAAAATTTACTTAATTCAAAATATAAAGTATTAGATAATTTTTATAATTATTTTTTTAACTATATCCTTACTTTATTTATTATTTTTTTAAATGATACGTTAAAATTTTAATCATTATTATCAAAATATTTATATAAGATAATTAATTAGGGTCTAATTAAAAAGATATAAATTTTAAAAAAATTAAAGTTTTAACTAATTTTTTTTTAGAATCATGAATTATTTATTAATATCTCATATTTTAATCTCAACAGAATAATAAATAAAAGAGTAAAATATATTGATTTTTTTAAGTATAGGCAACTCCATTCTAATTTTAATTTTAAAATTTATACAAAAATCCATCAAATTAAAAAATTACATAATATATAACTTCTTTTTATTTTTAAGATTTCATTTTTATTCATATAACTATTAATTAATCTCACATCAAAAAAAAATTATAGAGAATAATAGACAAACCTCTCTAAACTAAAAAAATAAAAATTTAATTTTGTAAAATGTAATAATCACAATAAGGTTTCAAGGGACTTATTTGATATCAAATTTTTGTATGAAATTACTTTAGTACCCTTTTGTAATTAATTTTATATTATTCACAAGCTTTATATAAATATTTACAAATTTGATTCTACTAATAACTAAAATGATTTAGCAAATCACAACTTTATATTAGTAAAGTATAACTAATTTTATATTATTTATAAGTTTGGTATAGGTATTCACAAGTTTAATTTTAACAACAACTAAAACAATTTAACAAATCACAACTTTCTATTAGTAAAGTCTAACTAATTTTATATCATTTATAAGTTTGGTAATATTTGCAAGTTTGATTCTACTAATAATTAAAAATGATTCAAAAAATTACAACTTTTTAAATTACAAAGAGATACTAAAGTAATTTCACAGAAGAATTTAATTTCAAAGAAATCCCTTAAAACCTTACTATGATTATTACATTTCTTAAGGCCAAACTATTTTTTTTATTTTAAAGGAATTTATCTATCATTCTCCCAAAAAATCAATTAATCTTTAAATTTTTACTTGAGGCTTAATTAATAATCCTACATTGCAAGATGGCATCTATCATCATTACATATCAACTTAAAGAATTGATCAATATTTAAAAAAAAAAAGGCCCACACAAAATGGTTTGGTCACATAGGATATATATATATATATATATATATAAAGATGATCCATTACTCAAATACGAGATTAGATAACAAGTTAGATTTTATTTATCGAAGACAATAAAATTACCAAGCGTGTCAAAAATAATGAATCTTAATTGATAACAAAAGGTCCCCGAAGCTCCCTTACCATATTTTGCCTAGATGTAAAAGATATACAAAAGTTGGAATAACAAATGTTTGATTAATGCTAAAGAATTACAAAAATGATAAAGATTACAAGGCTGAAAACAAAAATAACAGTTACAAGTAAAAAGCTATTTGATAAATCTAAAAGATATGAATATGAAAGATTTCAATGTTTAGATATGCGTTGTTGCCCCTTTTTAGCTGTGACCTTCTCCTCTTTTTGTAGAGGTTTGGCTGAGACAATTGTTCTTAAGAAATCTAAAACTCATTTGCGAAATATCAAGGATTCAATACACATGATCTATGAGATTTATGGCACGGTCCTTCTACTTATCAAGCTTTCTATTATTGACCGCTAGCTCGTGTCTTTGAGATTCTCATGAATAATGGCCATGTCTTTGCGAGATTCGGGGACCGTTGAGGTTATGGTTTTATATATTGCAATGGTCTAAACAATGGCTCCGAGACTTAAGGGATTCAAGGATCCGTGCTTATCTAATTAGGCTATTCTATTTTGATCTGAATTGGCCCTATTGTAGATCAATTATTGGGCCTAAATCTTCAATTACTCAGCCCATTTTATGTTACGACCCTTACAAGTGACGTTTCAATTTTAGCCCAAACAGATTTACATCATGTAATCATTACACCATGCAATCACCATAAACTTTAAAATATAAGTAATCATGGGACTAAGCTTACAAGGATTACCAAATTTTCACATTTTATGAATGGGAAACAAGTTTCAAACCATTTGTCAAGGGATCCCAAGATTTCAATATTTAAAACTCTTCTAAACATTTTCATTAAGCTTAAAACAGGGTTTTCAAAATATTGCAGAAGCTAAGAAATCAAATAAGGCCTAAAACACTTGTTTTAAAACTCAAATATGTAATTTATGCAAAAGATGGGATATGCGTCGTGGCTAAGTGCACATGCATCACGGTGTCCCTCGCTTTGTGCCTTGTGTCGCAGCGTATTGCACAAAATATGACAACAAATGGCTGCTATCATATAATAGTACTAGGAGCAAACTTCTGACACATCCTAAATCTCTATTTGATGTCTAATTGAGGTAATTTTGGTATTTATATGGAACTTTCTTATAACTCTAGTTAATGTCATAAGTTTCGTACTCAAATTCTTTTTCTATAAAGAGTTGAACATCAAAAAATATTTTTATCACTTTTTAATAAAAACTCACAACAATGGTGTTCAAACTCTTATACAAGTGTTAAAAGCCTACACTGGCCACTCAACCACACTTAATGGACCTTAAAAGACTCGTGTAATATACTACACTCATACAAATGTACGTATACCAAATTTTTACCACTTAATCCCAAATTTTATAAAACACAAGAGGGAGGAATTTCTTGCACAAAGCAATCGTTTTCATTTTAAACCAGTTAAAATATACATTTTCCTACTTGTACAAGTATTTAGTCCTAAACAAGGATTTATAACCAAAACTCACAAATCCAAAGTGCAAAATACACAAGTTGTATACTATGTTAATGCAAGTAATTTAGAATAATCATGTGAATCTTGGTTGATAAATTAACATAGATAATACACATAAAACAAACACAGTGAGGCATACAAAAATAATTACTCTATAATCCTATGCCTGGACATATTTTCCTTGATCTTGATCTAATGACCTAGACCCTAAAAATATTGAGAATTGAGGGGTGAGTGTAACCATTTAGTAACCAAATTTTACATACTCTATACAGTTACATATCAATTACAACAAATGTAATTGGCAATAAACACACATAGAATACACATATGAAAACATATAACCTCGGCCACAACAATAACAACCGTGTGACAGGGCTTCAAATTCAATCATATATATACATCAATAATGCACAACATGGGGTCACAATAATACCAACCATACGCTCTTAAACTATACCGGACCACAATACTAACAACCATATGGTCAGGACTAAATGTATAATTAATGTCAATCTTATACCCTCTTGTTACCTCCGACATGAAACCGATGGTTATTCGATGGCTACGTCCTTTACGGACTAACCCAACCTTTCACTTGTAAGGAGCTATCAAGTCAAGATCAACTTACTTACTTGTGTAATTCATTTTTCCCTAATACTAACAACTACGGGGTGTTTTACCCCTAATTTAATCTCCTCATGAACCGATAAAGACTAGTTAGATTTTAATTTTTCATAAAATAAGTGAGATAATCCTAAATCAAATATGGGATAAGAGCTACCTCCCAATTCCAACGATCGGTGCTAAGGCAAGCTCTCGATTTCAATGATTGTCTCCAATACCACATGAGTTTACCAATAGACTCCTCTCCTTATGCGAATTCTCACCAATGATTATGTTATGCATATTTTGACACATATTATGCATTTGTTATAAAATTCACAATTATTAGTTACTCTCAATGCTCTCCACATCATACATATCATATATAGCATATTTTCATGATACCACGTTGTCAATTATCATCATTAAACACAAATATTCCTCATACATAAAATTCTTCATTTTTTAAAGTATTGTCATGAATCATACAACACATTGTCAACAATTGCATCAATAACTTTCCAAACAACAAACAAGTTTAAATCACAAATTTCAATAATTAATTAATTAACATACAACTATCCAGATTAGGATTCCCCCAGTTACCTTTAACTTTTAAGAGGTCAAAAGTTTACCCCTCACAATACCAACTTCTAAGGCTTCTTTCATGCTCGAATGGTGCCAAAAGAATCACACTACAATCATTTCACAAAGGTATAATCATTATCTCACTCTAAGGAATTTATTAACATTAAACTCCCCCTATTCCTTTCTCATCAAAATCATAAAATCAAACCCAATCATACTTATTGGATTTACTAAGTTCCATTAGCCACATTTTCATTAATGAGTCCATAAACCACCATTAATGACATCAAAAACTCCTAACCACCTCATTTATTACTAATTTCATATATTAATGACTCCCAATCACTAATCACTCATAAACCATTAATGTTAGGTTTAGATACCCTAAACAATTTCCATTATATCCATTTTAACTAATGGGCTTGGACCCATAACTCATATGGACTAAGAATTACCATTAACACTCAAATACTAACTTAACTCTTCTAAAAAATAAAAGTAAAAGGAACAAGGGAAGTTTATTATACTTACCTTAGGTGTTGGTAAGCTTTTAACTATCCTTAAAGGTCCCAATATGTGTGCCTTGATAGAGAAATTTTGTATTCTTCATTTTCTCCTTCCCTCCTTTTTTTTTATTTTGCACGCAAACACGAACAGATTAAATCAAATTTTTTACCGTATGCTGCAGCGTGCACAGCCTTTTGTTCCAATGCAAGGCACAAAGAGGTCTAGTTTTGTGCTAAATGCCTCTATGCACTGCAATAAATCATCCAGACATCACAGCATGTGGCATAAAGGACTTTTCTTCAAATTTTTCTCTTCTTCCCTTGCCTGAATGGCCCAACTTCACTTTGAACCCACATCTTAGGCTGAAATCACAATTAAATATACCAATTAGACCATTCTGGCCACACACCTCATTAATTCACTAATTATTGATTAACTTAATTAATTGAGTTTAGATTTTTTGGATGTTACACAAAATGGTTGTTGGCCCTTGTAATTTAAAAAAGCTATAATTTAGCATAAGATATTATAAGTTGATTGCTATAGCCAATAACAGAGCAACCATTGTTTTTTAATTTTCATGTTTTGAATTTCATTTTTGTTATTTACATATTTAGTTATAAAGATACATCTTAAGAACACAATACTATAAAGTTTAAACGTGATGTAAATATGTGTGTGTGTGTATGAGAGAGAGAGGGGGGGAAACTTACTTTTCTGTTATAGTAGGAACAAGTGGATGAAAACAAAAGGCAATCATATTAAAGAGTTGCAATAAAACATGACATTGTCATTAACTGACAAGACCTCTTACAAACCCTATCAACTAACCAAACGTATGATGTTAGAGCAGAAGAGTATAAAAAAGTGATAGTCCATATAAGGCTCCTGCAAAATCCTAGTATTGGATTTGATTAGGAAAAATGGAAGAGAATAAAGGCAAATCTAAAGAAGGCCCAGATTTCACCAAGTTACAGAAGTGTGCTCTCGCATTACTCGAGCTCTATGGCATCACCAGCGCCTTCCCTTTCAGAGCTTCTAATGAATCTTCCGATGCTATCCCATTACTATCCCCACTTATCCTCTCTCCACACCCATTATTGACAAATACTTATGTCTAAGGTAGTGTGGTGGCTTCATCATCGCTCTATTTCTAAAGCCCTCACCTTTGTTTAGTATTTTCCAAAAACAATGTGTGATTGTCAACCAAGCCCAGTGATGTCAAAATCGCCTCTTGCTTTTGTTGTCTCTCTCATCTCTGGCTCTACCTCATGGTTTATATAATTTTTCTTACCTGTTGTAACTAGGTTGGATTGGAGGGATGGCTCTTTCCCCTGTCCTTCTATTTCCTTTTTCTTTGTGAAATTATAACTATCTTCCTTAGGATCACTTTACATATCAATTGCCATCCTTTCAATTTCAATGGCAACGTGGACGCAAATTGTGTTTAAGGTTTGGGAGACCAAATTGCCTCTCCTAAATAAAGTTCTATATTAATACTACTCTCAAAATCTAAGACCAAGGATACTAAAAGAACATTATAGCTTTTTTTAAATTACAAGGGCCAACAATTGAGATATGAGAGATAGATATAAAATGTACCTGTGGATTTTATTTTTCATGTTTGCTTTTTCTAAGGTCATTTTAGTATATTATTGCCATTGTTTATGAAATGACTTAACAAATCCTCCAATCATTAGGCATTAGTAGCCAACCAACATGTAAGGTGAACAAAGAAAGGGGAACAAGAATATGATATCCCATGAATGTTGTAATCTATCAGTTCCCTATAATGCCCTCCCTTTTCCTCAAGCCTCCTCACCCTTCCATCCTCAACCTCCGTCATCGCCCACCTTCCTGCACCTCTAAAAATGGAACCCCTCAACCCAGATCGACACAACTAGATGTATGTTTACTTTATGATTGGACTTACAAATCTTGCTTGCTATTGTTTCTTTGATTTCCTTGAAGATTTCTAATTTCGTGTGGGGAATCGGTGAGCAAGAAATGCCCCCCCAGCTGAGGGAGTTAAGGTTCTTTTTTATTTTTCTTTTTTACTTGAAATTACCTAAGTATCAAAAATACACCCTTAGATTAAAAAATGTATGGATTTTTAATCAAAATTTTATCTCCCAATAAAATAATTAATTATTTTTAAACTAACATGCTTACCTTTATTTAATAGGGGGTTTCAAGTAAAAATAAATATAAAGTAAGTTATTTATTAAAGACACTTAAAAAATCATATTAATTATACCTTAAAAGATTAAAAATATCATCTAACCTTTAAAAAGTTACTTATATTCTAAATGGATGGAGTATTTTATTACCTTCATCCTTAACATTGCTAACATTGTACATTATAATTACCACTGCATTCCATTACATTAGATAATTTGTAGTTTTTGAGGCCCCACACAACACTCATCCTAAATTAAAGGCCTTAAAAATATTACAATTAATTATAAAGGATATTCTAGAAAGAAGATGGGAAAATGACATTTAGGGACCACGTAAAAACATTAATGATAGCTATAGATCGTGAACTATTGAAATTTCAATAACAGGCTATGGTTCTTACTTGAAATAAATTATCTTTTGATCAGCTTGAGATTCACAATGGACTTTAGTACATTTTTAAGTGACATTATAAATAATTTCAAGTATATTCAATAGATTTTCCAAGAGCTTTATATGTATGTTGGACAACCAAAATAATAATAAATGATTGGCTTGCAATTCACAACCAACTCTTGTAAATTTTGAACTAATGTTGCAAATAATTTCAAGTGTATTTACTTGATTTATCGATACATTTACAAAAAAAATCAAAATTCATAACTAACTTTCATAAATTTCCAACCAAAGTTACAAATAATTATAAATGTATTTTGTAAATTTCTCAATTGACTATTTGTATTGTTTTAATTATAAGTAAGGATTATAGTGTGTTATTAAAATTTCAATAATTCAAAGTTTGTAATTATCATTAATGATCTTATGAGATCTTTAATTATCATTTTTTCAAATAATATTAGGTCAAAGAAGACCAAGTCACCCCCATACTCAAGTCTCATCTCATAATGCTCAAAATGTGAAAGTGAGAAAAGTTTGTAGAGTAGAAAAGTTGCTTCCTAAAAATAATAAAAATGGACATCATTAAGTTTGGGGAGCAAGTTGCACAACTTGAATACCAAGTCACGTTTGTCTATAAGTATAGGGGGCCTCCTCCCTCTAAATTATCATCAGCCATTAATGATCAACCATGAATTACCACTCAACACAACATTTAGGTCTAGCGTCTAACACTTTGTTTCTTCCATAACCCTAGTCTATGTTTAGCTTCAGCCTCCTTTACATGTTCCAAACAATTATTTAGGTTTTTAGCTATTGCCTCATTCACATTTCACCTATTTACATTTCTTGTAACCCTACATCAGCCCGCGCATATTCATCCATTGAATGCAATACACCTTTCTTAAAAAACTATTTTACTTACTAGCATCTCAACTTGACATATGGGCAAATGGTAAGAAAGGATGTTAAGAGCCCATTTTCATTTGGATTAAAAGGTTACATTTTAAAGCTGTTTCCCCTACACCTAGCGCGTACTACAATTCTTCGTCAACACACGTCGTGGTGTCCATGGTTTTACAATCCAACTACTCACGGTCGCTCTCATGAGCCCTAAGGGCCTATTTAGTTGAAAGTTGAAAGGAGGGGGACCCTCCCCTCCAAAATCTCCCCCCCCCCCCCTTCATCTCCCTTCCTCTCCCTTCCTCTCCATCCGCTCCCAAGAGTACGATGATGTCTTTATGATAGCCCCATTTGTAAATTCTCACTTCAGAGATTCCATTCCTGCTCTATTCAAAGCTCAAATTCAAAGATTAATCAACATTATTACGCAGAACTACATTAAAGATGACCGAGATGAGATAAATAATATCGTTACCATACGAACCGATTCTCAATTAACCAAAATGTCCGAGGATACAGCGCTAATAGAACTAAGTACATCGACAAATGGTAAACTTCAGGAGATGCCTTAGAATGCCACCTATTCATGTAAAGGCCCAACATCAATCACAGTCTCGAAGGTCAAAGTATTAAGGATATCTCTCTTCCTTTAAGCTTTCACTTAATATTTTTATAATCAAAGAAAAGAGTTGAAACACTCCATGACAACCCTGCCTTATGCTTCACATACATCCACCAAATTGCGATAAATGACAAAAGTCAGAAGTCAAATTCTCCTGTCGCCTGCAAAAAATGTGCATAATAACCATCAAATCAAATAAATATGATAGACTGATAACTGAATGAGGTCAGATCAGTCTTCTTGATTGTGAGCAACGCACCTTATTGAAGAGAATGTCCTTGTTGTTTATGTGCATGATCCCATCCTTTAATATGCATTTCCACTTGCTCTTGGTACGCGTAACCTACATTAGTAGCAAGACAAACCATTAGATCTCAAAAAGTGAGATATTCAGAATGCAACCATATACCATATCGCACTACAGTGCACTCCATCTCGTTTCAGAGAGTGGAAAGTTCCGGTTGTTACCTTGTCAAACTGGGCCAGAACAAGATGCTGGGTATTTTGATCCTCTCCTTGATCCACATCATCTAACTCATCATCATCATTTTCATTCAATGGGGGTTCATCATCATCATCATCTACAGCCTCATTTTGAGCAACAAGAGCAGGAGTACTTACTGGTACTTCTGAAAATTGCGAAAAGAAATTATCCATCGTTAACATTAGAGATAGATGCGCATATAATGAGCAATAAATATCACCGAAATATAGTAACACCGTGCTTATTATTTACCAGGAGGAGCTGGTGTATTTGCAATGTTGTAGTCTTCACTGAACACTCCTCCATAATTGTATATCTGAAAAATAAAACCAGGAAGATGGCGGAATGCAAGACGTGAGAAGACTGTTATGTTCCCTTTTTCGGGAAGGGGGGATCAGTCAGAAATATGATACTTCTAGAGTCCAAAAAGGCACCATTCCAGTTAAATTTCTTTCAGAATGAAGACATGGAGTTAAGAGAGTGAATTGAAAATTTTACAATCAAACCTTGCTTATGAAATTTATGTTTAGAATATAAGCAAATATTATATATTACTTTAACAACAAAATCAGTAAACATAAATAATCCATTTTTCCATGCAACATCCCATTTCATTTTCCTGGTTAAATTTCCCAAGGAAAGTCATTGCTTAAATCATTATTATCTTCCATCTCATCCATTTTTCCATGCAACATCCCATTTCATTTTCCTGGTTAAATTTCCCAAGGAAAGTCATTGCTTAAATCATTATTATCTTCCATCTCATCCATTTTTCCATGCAACATCCCATTTCATTTTCCTGGTTAAATTTCCCAAGGAAAGTCGTTGCTTAAATCATTATTATCTTCCATCTCCTTGTCTCTCTTTATTCCAATCCCTTCCCTTCTTTTTCCCTCCCAACTTCTAAACCCTCAATGATTAGCAAGAATAAAATAATTGAGCATATCATGAGCAAATCAAGATATATCAAACCCACCATTATTAAATATAAAACCAGTTCACGTACCAAATCATAAAAAAAGTGACAACGCTAGTTTAGACATGAACCAACATGGAATTTAACAGATACCTATGACCACGTGAGCACATAAATCTATGAATTTAGGACCAATTACCAAAATGATCTACACACATCTAAAGGTCCTTTTCCTTTAAACTAAGCAACAAGAAATAATTCAAATTACAAATGAAATGCCAACAAACAAAGCTAATAATATGAACAAATCGATGAAAAATCTGCACACTATATCATAGGCCCCCTCTAATACAAACATCAGATAGTTGATAAGAAATATGGAAGGAAAACAAAAATTACAATTAATTAGAAAAATGCAAATGAATGAATATTCTATGCAGAGGGAATAACAAATATAAAGGTAAGCACCACATGCTTTAATATGAGAAGGGAAAATAAAAGTGCCAGTATCACTACTCACATTTGGAGTAGAAAGCACATCATCATCATAAGGAATTGGTCCATCAAGTTGGGGAATCCTTGAAGCTGGCCTCTCCAAACATGCCGCTGATTTTCCTTCAGAAGGACTGTGAAATGCATCATTAGAGATGCTCCCTCCATATACCTAAAAACAATAATGTTATAAACAGTTTCATAGCTAATAAACCTTTCTGTCAATTTAAGCCAGTGGGCCAACAGACAGGAATGCATGTATCTTATGTACTGTAAAAACCGAAAGTGCAACTTAAAAGATTGAAGCTGAAGGTTGCATTGCATTCTATAATGTTCGTTATATTCACGATGCAGATAATTGAGATCTGGCTTCCATTTGTTGAGATGCACAATTGTATTGACCCATTGTAAAATAAAGCCATTCTTACTACAGTTGAATAGATTTACAGTAGTGGCATACGATTAATCTCATGTAACGAAAAGATAGCCACAAGGTAAATGTTATAAAATCTACTCATATGCCCCAGAACAACTGTATTAAACCAACTGTAGATCAAAAGATGCAGAGTGGCTTGACAAAACAGTTCAAGGAAGAAATCATTATCCAAGTTTGCTCAAGAATTCTCTAACACCCAATCTTACTTTCAAAGGATTGTTTAATGCATTGTGGGTACAGACACCAAGACTACACCAGCCCCTGTCTTGTCCCACCCCACCCCAGAAACACGAGAAGAGACTGGAATTGTAGCAAGACAACATAATATTAATATCCAGACTAGGGCCCAGAACTAATTTGGAAAGGGCTAAAAGCTCAGATGTTCTTCATTAAGTAAATACATTCAACAAAATCTTAGTAGCATACTTTTTTATGGTAAAAAGATATTATGAACTTGTAGAGAAATCCCAACAAGAAAAATAAGATCCAATCCTCCTCTGCTAACAAGATACCTTGAAAAGGAAGGACTGGCACAAACCAAGTTCTCCGGCATCAAAATTTCTAAACTTATTTGATAAGGCTCTAGGCAACTAATTTCACGGAAATTAAAAGAAATTAAAATAAGTTCAATACGTAATTTTTTTTTTCCTCACCCAAAATGCTAACCCAAGAAATGAAGGCAGAATCTGCAACTGCAATTTACACTAAACTGCTTTACAGCATGCCCAAAAGAATTCAACTGCTTTAATCCACGAAACCAAGACGAAATTCAGAGTTGGTCTTGCCATTACTCAACCAACAATAGACAACTTGAAAATATTAAATGAACAGGTAAAAAAACATAAACGAGTAAATCTGGTCTTATCATAAAAATGCCAATCCAATCTGCATGCATTCATTTACATCTACAAGGTTTGCTACTTGTATAGATAAGATGATTAACTATAGCTAGTTTTTTAACAAATTTCCCTTTCTAAACTTCCTAAGCCCATAGTAGCAACAAAAGGAAAAAAGGAAACTTGTATATGACAATGAGATGTCTCTAACTTTACATGGCATGGCAGCAAGAATTCATGAACAGTTGGCTAATACTATACATTTATGGGTCTTGACAATGTCCAACGGAGTTATTACTTCATTTGATTTATATTACACCACAAGTAGTAGTCTATTAGTCCATTGGAAAGCTCGGTTTTGTTGACAGAAACTAGTGTGTTTACACTAATGTTCATCAATAGCAATAACCTGCTATCATAGAGAGGTCAAGGTTATAAGAGAGGAAGAGAAGTAAAGGCAGTGGTGCCTTGAAGGAAGAATTACAGGGCATACGATAAATACCACTAGGCGTTCTGCAGCTGAACTTTTAATCAATGATCACATCAACTCATACATGACAAGCCACTTTACAATAATGATGACATAAATGATAACAATAACAACAGTGAACATTTAATGTGATAACACCTGAGTTGCAAATTCACGTGAACGCCAAATAATTTGATATCCATTTGATATTGGTTGATTGGATAAAAAATTATACCTCAATTTGAAAAACTCCAGCTGTAGCATCTCCAGCCCCATCTTGCTGAGGTATATATCCACCAGAGTTATATTGTGAAGGAAAATCATCACGTTTTCGCTTTCCTGAAGACACCGTGAAGAAGTCCTGGATGGTACTCATACATCAATAACAAGTAAAATTCTAAATGTGCTGGCATTCCCATGTTACTCATTTTATTAGATGGGAGTGCATGTTCCAGGCAAAAGCATCTACAAAATGTTCTAGGAAACAACAAAGGAAATCTGTTTGATGACTTAATAACAAGCAATGCTAATTGAGCCGAACTAGACCAGCCAGTTCAACTGGGACACCAGCCTCTTGTCTGGTCGAGAAGAGCCTGCAAATTACTGTGTCACAGAACCAATCAAACTTGATAGAAAAAAGGGTTGAACTGTGCAGTTTTTATGAAAACATGTGCTGGTTCAAGACTGGAGTGGTCCCCACTGAAACTTTTCCTCTGAGCTTCAAAATTTGGAAATTGGTAATGTGCAATTCAAGCTTAGGGGCTTCAACATGTGTCCAGTTTCTCATCTAAACAACTACAATGTGTTCTTTTTCATTCATTAGTAGACATGATTATGCTTATAAACTTAGTGCAACAACCCTACATTGCCTATCCTGCAGTGTGCATCTATGAAGCATTATTAACTTAGACCAATTAATTTTTCTTATCCATTAAATGGCTTTTTATATAAAAATTAACAATCAATTCTCATATATAACCTTAGCATTCTCTTACTTTGATGAAAGAATACTCAATGGTTATAATTACAAGTGGCTTAATTGTTTGAATTTCAAAATTAGATATCATGTCACAGTTTCATTCTTATTTGTTAATAACATTCTTAAAATCTTGATAAATGATAGAGCATAATGACAATGACGTAGTGCAATCCACATAGTCGATTCCATCTAGTATGATAAGGATTGTTGTTGGTGTTGTTGTTGTATATCACGTCACGGTTTCCTTTGTTTTCATGCTTAATCAGATGTAAAATATTTAATTTAAAATTAATTATTAATGTTCACTTGTTATAGTTATTATATTAACATACAAAAAATATATGTTTAACTAATTATCAATGGTTGGTTATAAAATTATTCATAACAAGAACATCATAAGACACTTTCTACTCATGCAACAGACATTCTTCTAAAATACCTCGCAGACTTGCTTACCTGTGTCAGAGGTTGATTAGAAGTTCCTCTGTCTGCTTCCTCCCGCCCTTCAACATAAGCTACAGCAATATAGACCATTATTAATATCAATGCAAAGTCATTTTTACTAGACACGTTTCAAAATAAGCAGAGACTCACCAACATTGACATCAAGTGAAGGCCTCTGGGTCATCCAAGGAGAAGAAGGTTGCTACAAGAAGATTATAAGAATTAGATCGTTGGTCACATTCAAAGGAAAATGTTCCCGCAGCTGTGATATAGAATAGCAACGGACATAACCCATTTCAAGAATGCAGGCCACCATTTCACAGCATAAATCGATGGCAGACACATATTTGATGCGCAGGAAGAATAAAACATGAACCAGCGATCCTTCAGTAGCATAATTCAGTGATGAATCAGCATCAAATGAGCTTACCATGTATGGGCCAGGTCTTCCACCTTTCACCTCAGTAGTTCCGCCAGAATCATTTCCAGGAGTTGAGTAGTCACTAGGCCCAGTAGGAATGTTATACATGGAGCTATCTACAGTTCCTGGTAAAGGTGTCTGAATTGGAGTTTGCAAAGGCGTCTGTACAAGCAAAATCCCGTATCAACAAACAATACCATAACTGAAAGTAAAAACGTAATAAATGAATCAGAGAGAACCATTAAAACCAAATTTTCAAAAATGGGATATATCTCACAGGAGGGAAAAGCATTTCGGCGGTGGGAGTTTCATATTCCTCGGTACCCTCATATGGGACGTTTAGATCGTGAACCGGAGTTATCGGACCACCGGGCGTAGGCTTAGCTGCAGTGGACCTTTCTATGGGCCCGAGAACAACACCAGCCTGGATCATTTTTGTTTCCCACGTCTAAATGATCAACAAAGACAAAACGAAAGAGCGTGAGCATAAAACCATGGAGCTTTGGTAAAAATATAAATCCAATCAGATCAGATCCAAGCCCTAAGTCAATCAGCCGATAGGGAAAATATATTCCCAAACAAATCCACGCAGATTTCATCGTATATCTATTAAGAAAAATACTACCAATCGATCAAAACATGAAGAACAGCAAGAGGAAATGAATTAAATTGGGGAGCGAAGAGAAATTAGGAAATATTACAGCTTGAAGCTCCTTGAGAACTTCCTCCCCAGGACCGCCATTGTTGATGAACTCATCCCGAACCTTGTTCATGACATCCTCGATTACCTGAATATAGACCTGGCTGGTGGTGGAAGCGGCCATCGCCGACAATTCCGGACCGCCGCGTTTCCCCAAGTATCCTCCTGGAACACCGAATGAAAAGGTTTCTGGAGTAGAAGAAAAGCGATACTTCAGTGAGCGAGATCCAGAGGGAACATGGGAAATTGGGACGTTGCGGAGAAGGCGTCTAGGGTTTGGGAGGGTGTGCAGTGAGAGCTGAGGAAAACGGCGGGGGTAGAGAGACAGAGAGAGGGGGAGGGGGTGGGGGAGGGTAAGAGGCGGACCAGAAACACAGAATAAAGAGTGGAATATAAATAGGTTTGCATCCGATTATAAGAACGGGTCCACGTGTCGAAATCTGCTGTGTCCTGATCTTTCTGAATTGGCTTGACCACAACGCCGATGATCTCCCGCCCCAAGCATGTTCTAGACAAAAAGACTGCAAATGGATTCCATTGCTATGCTACCGGGTCACCGCCTATACCCGTGATACGCCCTCTTCCTATGTCTCTGGCTCTCTGCCGTTCGTTACCGGCCAATGGATCCTATGGGCCTTGCCCCGCTCCCCCTGACGCCACCCTCTCTTATTGGGGATGAGGGATCGCACAAAGCTGGCTCCATGAAGATTGGCCTAACCCCGTCAAGTCCTCGACATGTGAGTGAGGCCGAGCAGGTGATCCAATCCCCCCCCAAAAAAAAAAAAAAAGGAATGTGCGATCATGTCATGTCGCGGAATAAAAATAACAGGAATGAGGGTATAATGAATACGGATGAGGTTTAATTACGCCAGAAATTTTAAAATACTAATTAACTATTGAAATTATTTACTATTAAAAGGGTAATTAATAAAAATTCTCCTGTATGTAAGTTAGAAATCATAAAAACTTCAATTGACAATTCCAGAAAAGTTAAGTTGAAAGCCTTGCAAGTTCTAGGTGCGACTCTTTTTTCGGGCCAACCTTATTTGTGGTGACTTTCATGTAAGCTTTTTTTTAATATTTTTTCCAACTTTAAATATGCTAGGAGCTAAGGCGAAAAAATAATATATTATATATTCTCTCCGTTAAAAAATGTAATATTTTTTTAATTAAATATCACTTCTCAATAAAATAGTTACATACTTTCAAACTAATTCTATTTTTTTATATTTATCCTTAATAAACACCCTACAATAAATTTAAAGTCATTTATTAATAAGGATACTTTTTTTAAAAAATAATGATTACATTTTAAAAATTAAAAATATTTTATATTTTTAAACAAAGAGTAATATATATGGAGAGAGACTTGGTGCGGAGGTTGAAAATGCTCAAAAGCAAATGTATACAAATGCATTTTTCAAGGCGGTCTTTTTTTTAAATGTTAGTAAAAAATCAAGGTTTTATTGAATCATTTCCCTTGGATGATAGCATGGATTGACCTGTGTCATTTTTTATAAGGAGTGTACTCCACTCATGATAAAGAATATGTTTCTCGAGGCATTGAAAACAATTGATAGATTTTTCTCAACTAAATTACTATATCAATGAAAATTAGAGTTCAAACTCAAATAACTTGCTCAAATGATGAGTGCCTCTATTATTTAAGTCAGCTTTAATTGATAGCCCATGTCATTTTGTTTAGCATGAAAATTAACAAGTACCTTTTTTTTTTGTCGTAAGTGGAACAGTTGAGCTAGCTTTGTTAGTCTAATTCAATTATGGACCGCCTCAACCTTTAATCACTTTGTTGGTTTATCTGGTTTCGGTGGGTCAGATCATGTGTATATATTAGATAAGTTCACATTGTGAAGTGGGATCTTATCAGAATCTTGAGAAAGTTTAGGTCTCTATGTGCAATCAAGCAAGGGTTTTGATTGTAATATTCCACCTCTTAATTTTGAATCATGGGAGGGAACAGATATGCACCATGCACGCTCGGACTTTTTATACGCATGAAAGTTAAAAAGCATGTGGCGTGCAAGAAACCAGACACCCTCTCTCTGAATTTTTAAAGAGTGAAAAACTTCTCCCTGTCATCTTTTTTATCCTGTGTATCTGTCACAAACTAAGAACCAGGTCCGTGCAACTTTACTCATCCATATAGAGCTCCTAATCATAATAGCTACCAGATATGTAGTATGTTTCTCTGCAACTCACACACTCTAAATTATTGCATCTCATATTTGGCACTGTAGTAGAACTGTATTTTAATACATGATTTGGATTTAACAATAAATTTTAGATTGTCAGGTACTTTTCCGTAGATATTTCAAATGTAAAATTGTCCTTTAATCCAACAACCTCTTCCCAAAAGGCCAAAGCCATAACACGTTACTATTTTGAAATCACAATGTATGCGTTTAATGCCATGTAAATATCCGTCAAATTTAGGCCATATGTTATATCCTTTTTAAAATATTGGAAGAGACATTACTCTTCGGGAGAATTTCCGTTGAGAGTTAGGGGGAAATTTAATTTCAAGTGGATTAAAAAATATTTTAAAATTTCAGTTTAGTCCGTAAGAAAAAAGTCAAAAGAATTTCGACGGTCAAAAGACTAAAATATCCTTTACGTATTATGCAGAATTATTAGTTATTAATTTTCTTACTGTACTTATTAATCTGTCAATATCACTTGTAAATTATATCTGTTTGTCAGACAATTAATAACATTAATTGTTAATTGTTAGTTTTACTTGTTAATTTATCAACATCGTCTGTAAATTATAAAACCTATTAGTAATTTTCAATTAATGTTAGTAAAGCAACAAGTAAAGTTAGCAAATTAATAATTGATGTTGCTGCTTATGATTGAAAAACTAATGTTAAGTCTTATAAAATTGTTGATATGTCAACTCATGAAATTTGCAACTTATATTCATAAATTAATAAGTAAAGCAACAAAATTAACAACTAATGATTCTACATAATAATAGATTAAGGGCATTTTAGTTTTTTTATAGTTGAAATGATTTTGACTTTTATTCCATAGACTGAACTGAATTTTCAAAATGTTTTCGGACTCATTTGAAATTAAATCTCTTCTTAATCCTTAACTGAAATTCTCCCTCAGTCTTTTGTGTATTTGAATACTCTTTTAAGTCCTATTTACGAGGTAAAGAGAAAAATTTTTTTTATTATATTTATAAATCACGTTATTAATTTTTTTATCAAAAATTTCTCATTTTTTCTCTATTAAATGTTGATTAGAGAAATCATGTTATTAAAGTATGTGCGCCTAATAGGAATAAAATTGACAATTGATTAAATTTTTAGACAAATTTGACAAGTTTTAAGATTTTTTCTAATTCTAATAAAATATATTAAAAGTGACTTACAAATAAAATTAGAAATACACTAATTGTTTATTGTGAAATAGTTAGTTCTATGAGACAATTTTTATGTAGACACTAACATGTTCATTTTAATTATGTGTATAGAGAAGATAATATGATAGCTGACTATATGTCCAAATCGGCTCGTAACTTGCCAAATGACTTTAATCTATTTAGTAACCCCCTTTTTAGCTAATTTGGGATTTTTTTTGTGTCTTTAGGTTAGCTGATCTTATTTCTTGTTACTTTGTACTGTGCCTTATTTGAGTGATTGAATTTTCCTTCCTATTAAAAAAAAAAACAAAGCATGTGTACCTCATGGAAAAAAAGTTGACAATTAATTAAATTTTTAGATAGAGGTAACGGGGCTTTGAAATTTTTTTTAATTATAATTAAACATATTAAAAGTGACTTATAAATAAAATAAGATAAATACACTAATTATTTCTCATGAAATATTTAAAAGACATTAATATACTTTAATCCTAACTAATACTCCCTTCGTACCAACTTATAAGACACTTGATAAAATTTCACATACCAATAAAATTTATTAAATACACTTTATAGCTTTATCTTTTTAAAATAAAAATATAAACTTTAAAAAATATCCTTCATTTAATACTTTATTAATGAAATAATATTGAAGAAAGAGAATATATGGGAAGGATAATTTTAAAAAAGTATAATTAATAAAATCTTATTTTGATCAAAGTATTTTATACTTTTGAAAGTTAAAAATTTTTTAAAAATATTTTATAATTTGAGACAAGAATGAGTATGACTTATCATTTATATTTAGCATAATACAACTTAACTTCATGACAGTGACTTTAATAACATAAATGTAAAATCTATCTAAAAACTCAAGCGTAATCCTTTATTAAAAAAAAAAAACCTCCAGCTATGAAAGTAATGAACTAAAAGTCAAAAAGTTAATTTCGTCTTTGAAACCTCTGGTCCTGTTTTGTGCTTCAAATTTTTTAAATTTGGCTTCTTTAGAACCGTTAACGCATTTTTTCCTGTCACGTTGTTAGTGCATGTTTCGATTGCCTCATTAATCAATTTTTGGGGCTAACACTAGATTATTTAAAAAAATTATCCAAACGGCTAATAAATTGGGCAATCGATTTTATAAAGCCACGAGAGTCAGCTTCTGCATTCGCATTTTACAAGGAACATGTGGGAAAATTATAAGAAAGGCCTGGAAACAAAATTATAAGAAAGACACAAAATTTAATCAAAATAAAATTAAACTCTTTTTTTTATTTTTTTCTTAGTAAAATTCAAATTTTGTATCCTAAAAATAATTACTAGCATAAATTTCTGTCAATCACCTCCTTTTATTTAGCACTTGCTATAAAATTAATTTAAATAAAATATTAATTTGTAGAGAAAAATTAATTCAATTTAATTTAAAATTAAAAGTTATTACAAAAATTGTTGCATAGGTCCGCAGAGAAAGAGAGAGAGAGGGATTTTGTATCATTTGTTACATTGTTACATTTTTATATTGTCAAAATTTGTAGGCAATGCTTAACATTTTCGTTAGATGTGACTAATTTAAATTGATGTTTGATATTTAAGAATTAAATTTTTCTCTTTCCTTAAATTTATTTAAACTAAGATATATTGAATTATTTATTTATGTAAATTAAAATTGTTAATATTAAATAATTTAAATTTTTATAATTAATAAGATATATAATTTAAATAATATATTTTACTTTTTAACAAATTTAATAATATTATATAAAAATGAAAAAATTAATCTTTTAGTCCTCCAACTTTTAAGTCACTTGTAACTCAATCCCTCAATTATGACTTGCTGTGACTCAGTCCCTCAACTATAACTCGCCTATGACTCAGTCCCTCAACTTTTGAATCACTTACAATTAGTCCCTTAATTTTTGTTAATTTTTTTCATGTTAACTTCTATCTCACATTAATGAATAAGAAGAGGTATTTTAAAATAATATATGAGCATTTTTTACCCCTCTTATTTGATAAAAAATTTAAAAAATTAAAAAATAAGGACCGAGTTATAGGTAAATCAAAAGTTGAGGGACTGAGTTGTAGCGAGTTATAATTGAAGGATTGA